AGAGCTTCTAGAAATCAGGCACAATTTATTTGAATGATCCTTCTTCTGTTTAACCTTCTCTTTTAACTGTTAGGTCTTGTTTGAGAAATTTGAGAATCTTCCATTCTACGCAAACAAATTGAGTATGCAATTTGTTTGCAAAAGACATACAAGCATTTTGTTACAGTTTTAAAAGCATCCTTGCTCACTCTGCCTGCAGCACCAAATGTGAAAGGAAGCAGTTTTAACATATATATTAAAATATCTGTGCTGTTGTAAACTAACCACAGAACTCCAGTTATTGGGAATTACAGAAATAAATAAAATGCATGCACTTTCCAAGAATTGCAATGGCATTTGAAAAAAGCATCTATATTAAGAAGGCACGCTTTGAAATATACATGGCTTTAACAAAAATATGCATTTTTGCACCGTAGCTTAACAGAGAAAAGTGTGGACTTTTGAAAAAAGATGCACATGCAAATGTACACACTTACTTTTGTTAACATGCATGTTTACTCTTCAAGCAAACTTTTAAACAAAGTTTGAAGTAAAGGGGAAGAAAGTTGTACTGAGCTTCAAGAGGAACATTTCAACGCGCTCCACCCTCTGGTTTTTCTTCTCCTACAATTGGTCCACACTCAGCAAATTATGGGTATTTTTGGCATTCAAAAGAAAAACCAGGACCACCTTCTATAAGGGAATCTTGTCTCTCTGAAAATTAGTTTGTTCTGCTTCTTCTCCAGTTTGGCAGGGTGGTGGCAGGAGGCGAATTGAAAGCAATAGCACTGGGGAACATGGAATATGTTCCTGAGTGCTCAGATGCTGCTTTCCCATGGAGCAGACTCTCCCAAAATGGGGACCTCAGGATGTGCTAGGCTACAACTCTCATAATAATAAATATAAAATATAAAATAATAAATAAATAAATAATCCTATTGGTCACAATGCTTGGGGATGATGGGAGTTATAGTCCATGGGAAAAGTACTATGGGGAGATGCACAGGGGATGATCACTGGCCCTGTGTGGTCACTCCAATCACCCACAGTGAGAATTGGAGCCAGGGGTGCCCCATTCCAGCACTGCCCCCCACTGTTTGATGGACTGAAGCCCCCAAAGCCCAAGGGGAGTCCTTCCACCTGCAGATAATGAGACACATGTTGGAACCAGGTTCCCTTGCTCCCCAGGTGCCTTGGCATTTCACCAGGGCCACCATTCTCCCTTCGTGCCTGCCTGTCCTCTAGTTGTGGCCTTGATAACTCCGATTTATTCAAGGATGTGTTCTTACATTTGTATCTCCCCTTTCCTTCAAGAGGGAAGATGAAAGATGGCCCTGGGGCCAGATGGGGAATCCGACCTGGAAATTTCTGCTCAGCCCCCACATGGAGGAAGCTGCTGTGTTGGGAGAAGTGGGTGGGAGGGGATGCGAACAGGGTACTGTGCCCTCCCACTGCACCGCCAGCTCCTGACACTCAGCCCCGCATGCCCCGTGCTCTGAGCGCGGAGGGGCTGCCATCAGTTCAGAGCCAAGAGATTGCAGCCCAACAGAGAGGCCTTGGCGTGCTTTCAAGAAATCAAGAGGGCTTGAGCTGCCCGGGGAGAGCGTTCTATCCCATCCCTGCAGAGCTGCAGTAGATTCTGTTCTATTCTGGTCTCTCTGTGTGGGCAGGCTTCTTGGTCACGAAGGGCTCTTGGCCTTGGAGGAGGGTTGCTGAGAGGGCAAAAGAAGCAGGAGGGATTGCTAAGCCCACTGTGCACAGAACTCTGCTTTAGACTGCAGGGGTGAATCATAATTCCCTCTCTAACCAACTCATTTCCCCACTAGCTTCACTCCTTTATACACTGATTCTTACTCATCCATCACTCAGCCTCCTGAGCCCAGCTATAAACAAAGCTGTAGACGGGGAAGTTCCTGCTTTCCTCATTCAGTCACCTTCTACGTGAGCAAATAAACCGACAACGATTCCAGATAAGGCAGAAGGTTGGCAGGAGAGCTAATTTGAGATCAGAGCCGGCCCTGCCCTTGGGCAGAACGAGATATTGGCCTTGGGCACCAGAGGCGGTGGAAGATGGAGGCATGAGTGCTGTGGAGTCTGTCTTGCAATCCCTAAACTATCTTGCTGTCCTTGATTTTGGAGGGAGATGGTGCCCCATCACCCCTGTGAAAACCTGATTCGGCCATCACTTTGTCCTTGCCTGCCATGTGGTTGTTTCAGATGAAGGATTTATCAGGAAACAGGTGGGCATGGGGGACCCTGATATAGCACTATCTTGGATGCAGATATGGAGACACAAACATTGACTTTGTTTTGTCTACCAGGCATTCAGACAGCATTTTCCCTAATCTTCTCCCTGAACGTCTTAATATGTTGGGCTCTTTTTCATTTGGTTGCAATTTTGTTGAATTTTAAAATCTAATTGCCTGTTCTCTTGGAGGTTTTCATAGCTTATAGACTGAAGAGAAATTGCTAAATGCATACCTAAACAAATGAACATTATAACATCTTTTCTCTCTCAATATATGAATGTGGGGTGATGAGATGGAAAAGATGCAACATCTCTCCAACTGAATTCACGGAGGCTAACCACTAAGATGACTAACCACAACGCAGGTCCCCCACCAGCCTTTCAGACCATGGTGCTAACTTTGAAATCCGCATGAATGTCAATGTGATTGCCATGGCCTTGCAGTGGATGCTGTGATGCCACGGATTGTTTATCAGCTTTTTAAGTGCTTCAAGAGAAAGATGAAGGGATGCTGGAAGCCAGCACAGCCACCCTTGGGGGAACTGGAAGATCAGTTTGGCTGGGGAAGAAATTCATAGAGATTTTAAACACAGGACTGGCAGGTTTAAAGTTGGAGGATGTTGGAGAAGGGAGGGCTTAGAGCATTTGCAACTAGTAAGTCCGACGTCCCAGGAGGGTGTTTCATAGAATCATGGAAGGGGCCAGGGAGGCCATCAGGCTCAAGCTCCTGCTCAGTCCTAGAATCCATGTTAAAGAATCCCAAACAGATGACTGCCCACCTACAGGAGAATCCACTGTTGGCTTTCAGTAGTATCATTTTGAGGCACATATACAGAAGTGTGGGTCCAATCCCTACACATCCAAGGCAACTCTTTGGAGCCTGGTCATTATTTATTTACATATTCCTCCCTCTATCTGTCTGTCTGTCTGTCTGTCTGTCTATCTATCTATCTATCTGTCTATCTATCTAAAACTTTTGTATGCCGTCCCTTATGCCTTGGCATCTCAAGATGGCTCACAATCCATAAAATTAAGATACAATAAAATCACATATATAAATAACATCATTCAATTAAAAAAATACATAAAAGACAAAATCAAAGTGACAGTTCAAAATGATTAAAATACTAATTTTTAAAATAGCAATTAAATAAAAAGATTTAATCAGTTAATGAATTCATTCATTTCTGTTGAGATAACATATTACTCGGCTTTCTGCTAAACTTGCACTTAGGGGAGTTAAAAGTCAGCAATGCTTAGATTGCTCCGTGGGCTCCATTTTTACCTTCTGTGGGGAACTGATACAGTGGAGCATGGTTTTGACAGACTGGGGAGTTTTGGTTTTTATGGATTTTGTTAAGTCCCCTACCACTTTCCTTCCCGTAAATTGAGCATTGATACCTAGCATCAGTAGCTTGTGCAGTCTACCGTAGATTTTTGTACACCTGTACATGAATTGGTTAGAACAAGACATAATTCTTAAATCACATTGCAGTAAGAGAAAACAGTCCTTCATGGGATCAGTATCTCATGTACACAGTTACAAGAGATGAAAAATGAGGATTTTCTAAGAGTGGGTACATGAATGAAAAATGTCAGATTGCATTTCCACAAGAGATTCAGAGAAGCATTTTCCAAGCAGGAGTCTGAGATTGTCTTCAGGCTAACTGGGAACATGACGAAGTAAAAACCTATTTACCATAACTGGAGCAGCTAAGACAAATTCTTGTAGGTTATTCTGTGTCACGGCCTGGGGATAGTTCATTGTGTAAGCTCCCCTGACTTCAGCCTGATCTCACTTTCCAATTGTAAAATATTAAGAAAAGAGAGAGCAAAGATGGAAGCTCCCGTGGCTATCTAAAAACAACCCAAATTTTGAATTAGCTTTGGGCATGTGATATCATCTGGTGGCCCACCAGTGATGCCCCCAACCCTTCCCCTTAATCCACCCCAAAGCTCCTGGATCTGGTAGCATTAGGGTAGCAACTTTAAAGAGAGGGAAAAGGTTTGCACGACATTTGCATTATTTATCGATCCAAATTCAGGAACTATAACTCTAACTAGAAATCCACTGTATCTTGGTACAGAAAGCAAGACTGATGGGGTGACCCATGTGCCTCCTTTTTCTGCTTTGGCTAGCTGTTGCTGGGAAACTTCAAGGCCCCTGCTTTGCCCGGTCTTAGAAGGATAAATTTTATTTCCCAGCTAGGCTTAGATCGGGCAGCCATTTGAAAAGAGACATTCCAAGAGAGGACTTTCCTACTTCAAATAGGTGACTATCCTCAGTAGAGAAGAAGCCCACCACCTTAGACACGTTGATCAGAGCAGAGCAGACTGAAATAATCTTTAGATCATGTCCTTTTCTGCTGAAGTAAGTGCATATGGACCTGTCCCCGCCATCCTACTCTCCTTCACCAACTAACTGCAAAAATTGGAGTGTTCAGCCGAAAGTTTGCTCCACTTTGTTTAATGGCACTTAGAAAGCACACAACATTGTTATGCTTAGTCCTTTTTTGCTGACTTCATTTAAATTGCCAGACCATCTCAGATACATGCAATAACTCTCAGGCAAGAGCTGTCAAAGGCTGCTCAACCAACACCTTCAAGCAAGCGAAAGAGACAAAAACATGTTGTCAAGGTCCCATACTTCATTTCTGCAGCAAACCAAATCCACACTGCACTGCGACCTCAGATAACCGCTAAGTACACTGGAGCAGCATGTGCGAAAGGTGGAGCCACCTAACAAAACAAACTTGTTTTTTTCCACCTGAAGGGAGTACAATGAAGGAGCCGCCTGGGGTGGAGGACTACAAAGTGGTGTATCCAAAAAAGCTCCATGCACTGCATAAAAGGGATGTAAAGGGAATTCAGAACCCTCAAGAGAAGGTAAGAAGAACTGCACCAGCTTCAAGAGCAGCCCAACCCCTGAGCTGAACCGGGTTGCCTTGGGCTGCCACTTCCTGATGGGAACCAGGCTGTCCTTCAACATGAGCGCAGCTGAAATTAGAACCTGCATGAGGCTTCATTTTGTAATTCATTTCGAAAGGAGCCTCATATTTCCAAACGCAGAGTCCCAAATGGCCAACTTGAGGGGCACCCCAATCCAGCCTTCACAGGTCTTGGAATTCCTCCAGGGGTGAAGCTCAGTCTAAAAGTCCCGGATTCTCAAGGCATTTCCTTGGATAGCATCCTCGCTGTGACCACTGACCTCAAGTCAGAAATAAGAGAGGCCTTCTCCTGCCAGCCCTTCCTGTGCTATCTCCAGCCCCGGACTGGAGACAGCAGCAAGAATCCTAAGCAGCCGGGATCTGACCTCCCTGTCCCAGGGAGAGTGGCAATTTCCTCCTGCCCTGGGCTGTCCCGCTGCCCCCATCCGTGGTGCAAGGCTGTGTGGAAGCCTGGAGAATGGGGCTCCTTCACGGCAGGGAAAGTGGGCAGTCCTTCCTGTGCATGGGTGACTTCCAGGGCCTGCCACTCCTGGTCTGTGCCTCTCTCTCTGGCCTGAGATTGGAGAGAGCGTTGACCATGGGGGACCATGCTGGCAGGCCTCACCTGCACCAGGGAGAGTGGATGGTCTCCCATGCACAGGTGGCCCTGAGGCCGAGGCTGCCTTCCTTCTCCCTTCTGTGCCTCTCTCTCCATGCCTCCTTGCAGTGGGAACATGGCAGAGCAGGGGGGGTGTTTTGGGTACTGCCTGTCATATGCCCTTATATGACATCTGTGCCCTAAAACCTGTCCACACACCTGATGTCATTCACCTGCATTCTGGTGTGATTCCCAGGTGCTGATGAAAAGCTGACCATCTTGGTGGAACTGATAGCTCAGAGTCTGAGGGTGATGGGGAGCTGGCTGTAACTGATGGGACTCGGAGCTCAAACACTGATAACAGCCCTGCACCTGCGGACTCAACCTCTCAGTACCAGTCTGAGCCTGCTCTGGATGAAAGTCACTCAAGGACTGCTGTGGGGCCCAGTTCTCCCACCTGTGGGAATGAAGGACCAAACCTTCTTGAGGGAGGAGATTTGGAAATGGGTGGCCCCCAGATGGAGAACGCCAGCCCCTGGAAGAGGTGAACCTGAGTGCTCATCATCAGAGCCGCAGGCTGGCCCAATCGGGGGTTCAGACTGCAGAGTGCAGGGCCGCCCGGTTCCACAGCGCCCCTCCTTCCAGGGACAGGCCCCGAAGGGTTCATATGCAAAGCTTTGGGTAAATGGGCTGGATGAGGGCCAATAAACTGAAGCTCAATCCAGACAAGACGGAGGTCCTGTTGGTGGGTGGCTCGGGCTTCGAGATGGGGGACTTGGGCCTTTTTCTAAATGGGGTTGCACTCCCTCTGAGGGACAGGGTTTGCAGCCTGGGAGTGCTCCTCGACCCTGAGCTGTCTCTAGAAGCTCAGGCGATGGCGGTGGCGAGGAGCGCCTTCCTTCAGCGTGGGGCTACCCTTGAAGACGGTCCGGATACTTCAGTTGGTGCAGAATAGAGCTGCCAGGTTGCTGACGGGGACTGGGCGTTGTTCTCATATAACCCCAGTTCTCCGTCAGCTCCACTGGCTCCCGATTGAAGTCCGGGCCCAATTCAAGGTGTTGGTTATGACCTATAAAGCCCTAAACGGCTTGGGACCTGGATATCTAAAGGAACGCTTGCGCCCATATATGCCCTCCTGCCCCTTGAGATCAGCAACAGATGCCCTCCTCCGGGAACCCTCTGTGAATGAGATTGGGAGGGTGAGTACCCGGACGAGGGCTTTCTCTGCGGTGGCACCCCATCTATGGAATGCACTCCCCAGAGAGGTCCGCCAGGCGCCATCGTTATTTGTTTTTCGGCGCCAGGCTAAGACCTTTTTATTTAAAACTTATTTTAATTGTTAAATTATTTGAATTAATAGGATTTTAAATTTTTAGCCGAGAATGCACTGGGGGTTTTTAATCAATTTTTTAAAATTGTTATATTGTTATTATTTATGTATTTATGTATCCTTTGTGAGCCACCCCGAGGCTTTGTTGCGATGGGGGTGGCATAGAAATGTTGGACATGCTTTCAGTGCTACCAGGATTCACCATGACAAAAGCCTTACACTCACAACAACAACGACAACCCTCTAACCTCTGAACTTGCCTTTCTGAAAATGTGTCATTTCCTCGCCCGCAGGCACTTCTGTGACAGTTTCATACAAATTACAGAAAAAGCCTCAGAGAAAGAGCAAAGGAAGGAAATCACTCAGAGGCACACAGGCAGACGTGTGGCCTCCCTTCCCAGCCTGATCCTACTGAAGTTCCATTTGTATTATTCATGGCCATTTCTGTGCTGTCATTTCCAGAAGAATCGTCCGCAAGGAATATAGGGGGAATCAGTGCATTCCTGATACTTGGATGCCTTCACAAAAATCCTATCTGAAAATTGTGACACTCAAATTGTGCAAAATGTGATGCTGAAGGGCTGCCCATCCCTGAAATGGAAGATTTGGATTCTTCCCCGCTGTTTGCTTCTTCCGTTACTCATAGACGGTGGGGAGACAACCCTTCTCTGCCTAAAAGCTGGCCACTTACGCATTTACATGCAGGGAAATAAAACATACAAAAAGGATGTGAGAGGACTGAAATTTCCATCCACTTTGCATGTGTGAATTTGTACAAAGAACTGCAACTTTAGGAATATGATCATTTATGCTGAAAAGCAGTCCATCCCACTGGCGGGCCTGCTTCTGGTCCCAGCTGTCCATGGGTGACATCAAGGCCCCTCTGTTCTCTTGGGATTCCTGCCTTAAGCTGAGCCAAGCTTGGACTGGGCAGCCTTCCACAGAGGGCCAGTCCCTGTAAAGTTAGATACTTGGGTATCCCTAATAGGTGGATGCATCTGAGGGAATGGAGTTCCCATAGTTCCCTGATCGCACCATGCAGCAGCTCTAATCCTCCTTGGCTCAAGGCTGGGCTGTGGCCTTCAAGCTAAATATCCACACAGTGAGTGAACAGGGCACAGGGGCTGAACCCAGCCATGCTCAGCCGGAAGAGAAATCTGCACCTCCTCCGCAGCCAGTTTGGGGCGGTTTCCCCCTGTCCAAACATGCATAACGTTGTGCTCTGGATCTCAGTCCAGAAGCATGGTTGTCGGTTAGTGAACTGCAGTGATTGAATGTAATCAGTTACTCACCCACGTTCCAACTTTAAATACAGGCCAAGTATGAAGATACTGTACAGTATGAAATCGAAGTGAATGGAGAGAAGGTGGTCCTTCATCTAGAAAAAAATAGGTAAGTGGGTCAAGGGGTCTCCAGTGCCGACTAAGACAAGGCCAGAAAATAATGATGGGGGTGCTCTTGTGGGGATACCCCTTCTTGCAGCGATTACTGCATGGAGGCTTAAGTCAGAGCTACGGCGCTACTTGGCACCATGACAGAACTGCAGGTGTCAGCAGAAGAACGGAGGCACTGGTGACGTTTGGTCTTTCCCTTTCTTGGTTCCATGCACTGCAGGGGTGGGGAACTGATGGGCACTGGGCAGATGCCATCTTCAGGCCTGCTTGACCTGCCTGCAACTCTTTGCCATACCTGCCCCCCAAAGCCACGTCTGTTTTAGAGCCAGGCCCCATAGCAGCATGATGGTGGTTGGGGTTAGGCCACAGCTGGGGAAAGAGGAGCCAGCCCTCACCTTCTCATGCCGTGATCTGACCCAAATGCTGCCCCTTTGGCAGCTGTTGGGGTGGAGAAAAGTCCCAGTGAAGGGTCTTTTGTGAACAAATTGTTGCACGGGGCATCTTTGTCTTTGCGCGTTAGTGCCGGTGTTTATGGCCGTGAGTGAGCATGTAGGGGGGTGTGCATGTGTGAATGCATGAACAGATGTGTGGGAAAGGGGTGTGCGTGATGTGGTTTTGTGAAGAGCCATGTTAACGGCTGGTATAGCCCCACAGGAGCCCAGCCAGGCCCAAGAGTCCATCTTCAGAGCCAGGCATTGTGGGTAGAGGTCTCCTGGAGAACACATGTTCCTCAGCAGCAGTGGGGCATGGGGGTTGATGGGAATTGCAGTGACAAGGGGAGTGTGCATGGTCACATAGCAGCGACAGGTCATCCTGAGATCAGCCCCAGCAAGTGAGAAGAGTGGCTCCTGGGGACCCAACCCAGCGCTCCTGGAAGCCCTCCACTTGAGCCAAGAGCAGTTTGTGGAAGTGGTGTGAGAGGCAGACACACCAGGGAAGAAGGCCCATGAAGGGCGACGTGCCCACAGGCCCTCAAAGCCTGGAGCAGCCGTGGTGGCGGGAGTGACCCAGAGCGCCCCTCTTCCTCCTGTACCCCCTTCGCGTTTTCCATGATCTTTCTCGAGCACTGGAATTCTGTAAACCGTCCATTACAGCTGAACTTGAACTGCACATTGAGATATTAAGAAAGATAATCAGAAATAGAATGGCCACTTGCCCGGTTTTGCAGAATTGCGAACCAGCCGGACAGGTTTCTTCCCTTGCCACCAGCAAGACCGGTCGGGGCTTGGCATTCTTTTCAAAAAGATTTGTTTCAAGAGTAGGCAGTGGGCCTCCCCTGGAACTCTTTCCCACATACAAATGAGGTGCTTTAATGGCCCCCTTTGCTCTCTTGCAGCTAAAGAGGGAGGTGACTGCAGTAACCAAATGATTATTGCCCCAGTGTAGTAACAGCTAGGAAGTCTTGGTGGCTATTGAGCTACAAAGCCGGAACTTGTCAGCTCAGAGTTTACCTGTCCTGGGGAAATCATTAAGTGCTCTTAGAACTTGGTTACACATTTGCTGGGCTTGGAAGCAGGAGCTTTTCATCTATTCTGCTTCCTTGTTCTGTATTATTGATTTGATTCTTTGGAAGGAAGATGTTGAAAGGCGTTTCTCAGGGTTTACATCAGTATGCATAATCCTTGGGGAGCTGCCAAGGTTTTATCAGGGCCCATTGCGAAAGCCTGCTCGGAAGTGGCTTTTGGGCCTCACCCACTGGAAAGGACTCCAGATCACGGTTTCTGCGATGCCTCACCAGCCTGAGTCAGGTTTCAGGTCCTCTTGGTGAAAAGAAGCATGCCATGCCTTCGTGGTAGGAGCCATGCTCTCCCCCACACATACAATGACTGAATGGCTGCATTCAGACCACACAGCAAGCCATGGTGTTTGTTTCCCGTTGTTTGTCTGCTATTTCACCATGGTATGTTTGTTTGCTACAAACCACAGTGCGAAACAATGGTTTGTTCTTGGCCTGTCTGTACCACCATGGTTTTTCATGTGGTCTAAACCCTGGATGATGTTTTCCAGGGTCCTGGTATGCAATTGCCACAAAGTCCCCAGGAAAGAGCAGCAACTGCAGGAGCCTCTCCAGCCTTCCATCCTCTATGGATGGAGTGATGAGAAAGAGGCAGGTGACACAGTGATGCATCTTGGGAATGGATTTCAGGCATGGGATATATGCCAGCAGTGGGAGGACTGAGTAGGGAAGATGGAAACCACAACCGTATGGAACCACTTAATTGTCTGCCATGGCAAAAAATGGTGAAATATGGTGACCACGCAGGGCTGCTTGTCATGTTGTGTGAAAGCGGCCAGTGTCCTGTCTTGCTGGAGCTACAAAGCCACCGCTCCCACAGTGGGGGTAATCCCTAGGGGTCCACTGAGGGTGCAATGGACAGTACTTTTCTGAGGGATCAATTCTCTTTTATTTTAAGATGCTTCAAGAATATTGGTTAGCAGTTAGCACAAAATTGGCAAGTCAGCAAATAATACATTTTGACGTGAAGATGAATTCATGATAGCTGAATCATGGCAAGAGTGGCTGACAGGCCGTAAAGATATTACGTAAGACCTCAGTTTTCGACATGCTATGGTGAAATATGGGCCACAAAGTCACTTGCCTTCCCATATATGCACCATCTCTTTTCTTTATGGCCAGTTAAGGACTATTCCATATCGACCAGACGAACAAATGGTCAACGTACTCTTGCATGCTCCCACTGCAACTAGCTTCTGTGTATAGTTTGCTTATTTCCATGTGCAAACCAGACTTCTGGCTTCTCTGTTCCCAACAAAGCCAGAGCTATAAGCGAATAACAAACCACAGCTTGCAGTAGGTAAGGATGAGAATTCCATTTCTGTTTGCAAATCATGTGAATATGTCTCTTTTTCAATCTTAAAAAGCAGGAATAATTTTTTAAGTTTTTAAAATAAATGCACATCCCTGAATTTGTGATTTATGTTTGGAACAGGGCATGTAAAACACTCTGAAATGCATGTTTTTTTTAAAAAAATATGGATTCATACTTGAATGTGCTCAACAATGCATGTTTCTCCCATTTGAAACGCACACTTTCCCCATCTGAATGATTTGAATAGGAGCGAGCTGAAAGAGGGTAATAAGAGATGTGCAGAGAACATCGGGTGACCCAAAAGCCATTGGTTCCCTCACCCTCAGCTTGTAGTGGGAGTGGGAATGGAAAACCATGTTGGAGGCAAGCTCTCTTGTTCTTGGCAACTTCTTTCCTGGACTCCGCCCCGTCCAGGAAGCAAGCAAGCTGGAATCGAGTGCACAAAAGCTCAAGACTGCCAGCAGCCTCTTTGGGCAAAGTATGCAAAGCCTGAAAATGTTGTGTGAAGAACTCAGTTTACACCGCAGGCACATGGGCTGCATGTGTGCAAACTGGTTTGTGGATTTTCTCGGCCTTGCTTCCTGCCACACCTGTGTGCTCAATGCAAGGTGGACTTAGAGCAGAGAGAAAACAGGCCAGAGTTTGGGGAGCAAAGGTGAAGAAATCCAACAGATTCCTTCCCCCAAATCAGATCCCTCACACATCACTAAGTGGGGAAGATTGGGTGTGCACATTTATTTATTTATTTATTTATTTATTATTTATTTTATTCAGTGCATATTCTGTCCTTTCCCTTTTCTTTTAAAGAACTCAAAGCAGCTTGCCCAATTCTTCTCCACCTGCTCTCAGTCTTATCCCCACAGCAAGAACCTTGTGAGGTGGTTGGGCTGGGAGTCTGTGAGTCGCCCGGAGTCACCCTGGTGGCTCCATGGCTGAGCGGGGACGAGAACCAGGATCGCCTGAGGGCCAGTCCTGCACTTTTAACCACTGCACCACACTGTCTCTCAGCCGCTGCATAAATGACAAGTCCGTATTCCCCCAGAACCTCTCTGCTCCCTCCATAAACGTCTCCTTCTCTCCTTTGATATCCTACTCAATGTCCTCGGAAAAAATGAGTTGCAGGCTCATTATGTCATTATCTTTGGTCCAAGTTAATTTCTGCCTTGAATAACAAACCTGTTGTCTTCTTTCCAGGGATCTTTTTTCTAAAGACTACACTGAGACCCATTCTTCCCACGATGGCAAGGAAATTACAACAAGCCCCCAGACTGAGGTAATGTCCAAAGCATGATCCTCTAGCTGATCTGTCATGGAAAGAGTGCCTGCAGAGCAAGCACCCCAGCTGTGCAAGCATGCGATCCAGCCACACACATATATAGAAGCAGCAGGGATTGTCTTTCACAGACAGCACTGCCAGACCTGGTCCTGAGACCCATCTTAGCAGAGAACATAGAAACAGAGCGAGTCAGAAGGGGTCTCCCGGGCCATCTAGTCTGACCCCCGGCTCCAGTTGGCTCCGCTCACAACATGCCCACCATGTGCAGGAGATGTCAGGAACTGAAAGAGCAATTCGCGCAAGAAGCCAGGGATGGGAGATCTGGATTCTTTTGGGTCCAATTCTTTTGATCAACTTGGAATGCACATAAAAGGCATACAGCCCAATAGGACAATAAATCTTAGGAAGATGTAATTTGCTCTTTACTCAATGAAATTTGTTCTCAGGTAAGTTGGAATGTCTACAGTCCTCAGTCAGGACTGAGACCTTTAGGCCTGGAGTTGCCAGTCATTCAAACTGTGTAGGTGAAGTTTAATGATTCATCAGACATTTTATCATGTGAGGTTTGGTGACCTGTTTATGATATGATATGACCAGATACGGCACTTGAAGCAAGGGCCCGCTCTTTGGCCTCAGTCTAGCTCTTTGATTAATGTGTGTGTGTCTGGGAGCTTTATCATGTGCTCCCAAATGATATTCCTGGAAAGGAAACGGTGGGTAATTGTGAAAACTCAATTTCCTGCTATGCAATGGTACCAATGTGTGGGTCAACTGGGTGTCTGAGTTCATGTTGCAGATCTTGTAGAGCAGTGGTGCTGACCCCCAGTTTGGAGGGAAGAATGGTTTGTAATCTGGACAGAACGTTCTACATTCTTTCCTCTTTGATTGCCCGTCCTTGCCCATAACTTGTTAGCTTCTCTCAGATGGCTTGCTGTCAGCCGTGTTCCCTCGGCACCGATCTCTTGTTCTTCCAAATAACCATGAGTTATGAACTGTAACGGCACATTTGTTTGAAATTCAATAAGCCCTCCTGGCATTTGCCTGTGTAAATAATGTCTCTGGGCATTTGTGTACAGCATGCGATGTTTCTCCCTGTTATAGACATTCACTTCCTTCAATAGTTTTAGAACAGTTCTGACCCACCGCTGTTTGAGGGCAAGCATTTGCGGTGCTATCTCTCGTGTAATCAGCACGGAATTCGGCACACGGCTTAATTTTCACTTCACCTTTGTTGGTGTGAACTGCGGCCACTGGATAGCTTCTGTTTGTTCTGCTGGGGTCAGCTTTTGAACTCCACCCTGGGGAGACACTATAAAAGTAGCTTGATGGGCCTCTGGATGTGTGTTTGCGTTTGATGAAGGGACTGAATTTCTTATGGAGCAGCTCTGGAGAGGAGATCCAGGGCAGAAGCAAAGGCAGTTCATCTCACAGCACACGGCTGATCCATTCACTGCCTCGAGTCGCAGTGATGCCTTGCCAACTTGGATGGCCTCCAAAGGAGATCCAGAAGGGGATTCTTGGTGATTTTATGTGCATTAGCTGTACATTTGATGCTTTGTTATTGTTTTAATATTATTATTACCCACTCTGAGAGTTTTATGAAGGGCAAAGGATACACAGAATGAAAACATACCTCTTAAAATGGCTGCCAACAACAAATAGTCAGTATATAAAACTTCCAGGGTCAGAGGTGTATGTCTCTGGTTACCCCTTGCTAGGAAAAAAATCCATTAGGGAAACCACAGCCTTGAATTGGGAAGACCTGAGCAGGCCTGCCATGGAGAAGACATTTTGGAGGGCTGTCATGCATAAGGTCACCATAAGCTGGAGACAACTTGATGGCTCGTAGCAGCAACAACAGGAACACTGATGACCCTGGAAACCTGGTTGGCTGTTACTCTATTCATGCCCTGCAGAGCTTTCCCACAGGCATTTAATTGGCCACTTTGAAAGCAAGATGCTGGGCCACTGCAGGTAGGCCTGTTCCAACAAGTCCTTTTTATGTTCTTCCTTAAAACTAAATTCCATTGATTGCGCTGGGATTTACTTCTAGGATTCTCAGATGGTGTAGGTTTTATGACAGAAAAAGACCGGCACTGCAGGAACCAGGAGCAAAGGCCTTGCTTCTCATTGGCTCTTACTGTTGTTTTTGCATGTTTTGCACAAATTGACACCCGAAAAGCATGTGGCTCAAGTGTGATTTGTGCAAATGGACTGATTTTACGGAAATTACTGTAGCTGCAAATGCTTTTCAGTGCACCTTTGCACAAGACATGGAAGAGATGGCCATTTACACAATTCGCAAGTTGCACAAATATTGCCTTGTGAACAAATTTCCTGAGTATATTTTTTAAAAACTCACAGAGTATGCCCTGCCTTGAAGAAGAAAGTCCATAGGAAAAAGGGTCCAATTCCACCTGCTTCCAGGACCTTGCCTGGGAGCAGGTAGGAAGCCCATCAAGCTCCAACAAGCCAATGAGCCAAATTCCCTACCATCAGTGCATCCCAAGAAGATACTGCCTACAAAGCCCATGCTTTGGGATAAATGCACACCAAAGGCATTTTTCAAAGGTACTATGGGAAAACAGCAGGGTGAGCTGATGGGGCTTCCCACCTGCTTCCAGGACCTTGCCTGGGAGCAGGTAGGAAGCCCATCAAGCTCCAACAAGCCAATGAGCCAAATTCCCTACCATCAGTGCATCCCAAGAAGATACTGCCTACAAAGCCCATGCTTTGGGATAAATGCACACCAAAGGCATTTTTCAAAGGTACTATGGGAAAACAGCAGGGTGAGCTGATGGGGCTTCCCATAACCCCCTGCACACAGAGGTTTATGAGCATCTTCTCATGGGCAGGAGTGCAGGGGCAAAGGTCACCATTGTACTTCCTCACCGTGCAAAAGGCTTAGTCTTTTGCCCCTGTTCACAACAGGTAGGGCCTGAAGGCCTTCACAGGTTGCAATATGCCCCAGTGGAGCCCCACTCTTCCCTACCCCACCATATACATATATCACTGTGTAATATTTATTTCACTAATATACTGCACTAGTTTTTGCACATATTCTCCCCACCCCTCATGATTTGCCTTTCTGTGCAGCTTTTTGGAGAAGTGTGGACATCACTAGGCACCTTGAAATTTGGTGTCTCCATTGGTTTGGGAGCTGAAATATTCCGGTACATAACCATGTCACATTATGATCAATGTGTTAGGCTAGAAGACATCTTCTGTGAATGAGAAGTCCTCTTGTTCCAGCCTGTAATTCTGGACTGTTGTGTTCAGAATTACATCCTAACCCTAACCCTGAACTACTGTGTTCAGAATTGATTGCAAAGTTCCAAGCATCACAGTGAAGGCGTATACAGGTTCCTTCCTCACATGTTTGGCCATCCTACCACCTAGATAGCCTTCTAAGCTTACGTGATGCTGTTTCCTTTGCTGTTTCCCTCATCACTCTTGAAGCTTTACCTCTGAGGAGAAAGCGGAAATAAAGAACTCTGTGAACCTATTTCACATATGACATCACCAAGCCAGGAACCACCTGGAATCAGAAGGGGGGGGGCACAAGGTGGGGACACATGATGTCATGTTCGAGCAGTACAGCAATGGAGCCCATGACCTGGGGAGGCGGTGGGCTCTCCCACACTAGGGGCCTTCAAGAGGCATCTGGTCAGCCATCTGAGAGGGATGGTGTAACTTGGTGTTCTGAACCAGCAGAGCGTTGCCTTCTTGGCCCCTTCCAACCCTACAATTCTACGGCACACTAGACAATTCCAAACTAGCAGCACCAAGATGCTAGATTCTGTAGATGTGCAAACACTTGTATCCATGGAACAAGCATTCAGACTAACGGGGAACCCTCGTCTGAACTTACTTAGAAAATTTTATCTACTTATTTATTTTATTTACAACCTTTCTATGCCGTCACCACACGCCTCAGCATCTTGGGACGGCTCACAGCACGTACAATTAAAAACCATAAAACAACAACAAATTCCATAAAATTATATAAAAACAAAAAAAAGTGACTGTTAATGATAAACTATTGATTTTTAACATAGCAATTAAATAAAAAAGTTTTAACCTGGCACCAAAAAGAATATAAACTCGGTGCCAGGCGCACCTCTCCAGGGAGCACATTCCACAATCTGGGCGCCACCGCAGAGATGATCTATTTTCTGAATAAATAACACATTCAAGTTTGCCCATTACTAGTGAAAATTTCTTTTGATTCAGTTTTTGATGAGAATGTTTAAGAAAATCACATCTGTAAGGACAGAAGTTGATATTTAAAAGATATGAATGTGGGAGAAAGCAAAATTCACATATTTGTTCATCCAGGTAGAGGGCTCTGAGTGTCTTAACAGAATGCCTGCATATCCACTCATATTTTGGTACAGTAGCAGTCCCCATCTCGTTTTTCCTGAGCGGTACATCATCTGCAGCAGCTCCAGGGCAGATTTTTACAACATGATATTCCCTATGTAGGAATAGCTGTGCCTATTGAATTGAGCCAGTGCAGCTGGATAAGGATTTTGTTCAGTGTTTTTTTTTATACGAACTTAAATAAGATCTGCAAATCCTTTTATGAAAAAATAAAGAACTTCAGATTTTTCTTTTAAACCGAACAGGGGAAAAAATGAAACAGACAGATGTCCAACTGTAATTTGAACCTGCATTTAAATTTCCTTATCCCTTTCCAAGCCCCTCCAATTTGTATAAGTTCTCTATCTGGAACAAATCTTTCCTCACAAAAGGAGCATTTGTCCTGCCCAGGGGCCAATGAACATGCCCTGTTCTTGCCGCAGCATTTCTGCAGAAAAGAACATGGAGCGCTGGCATGAGAGTATGGCCACTTTTAACTATGTGATCTAAGAAACGGTGAGACTCATTTCATAATGTTCAGGCCCAGCAGGTATCTCCCACAACAGATGTTCCACAGGTTATGCCAGATGGTTTCCTTGGACCATGAAAATAATTTACTCAGGTATGAGCACAAAGGCAGGGACTGTCTAAGTACCCTTCTTTCTTAATTAATTGTGGGTTCGAAGCAGTTCCTTGCTTTTCAGCATGTCATCAGAACTCTATTTTTAGCCCATGTCTGTTGCCAAGATACCTGTCTCCCTTAGCTTTTTACAAATATCCCAATGTACTTTTGAAAACTCATACTGGGGGGAATCCAGTCACATTGCAGGAGGACTCTGGTGGCAGGATAGGAGAGGGTCCCTGCATCCCTGCTAGAACACATGCTGACAGTCCTGATTTTAATGTTCGGCACCTCTGATCGACCAAATCGCAAATGGGGAATGGAAAGCCGCTCGGTGCAGTTGGGGTGGCTTGGTGCAGGGCCAGGAAAAATTCAAATGAGTTCAGGTTTCTAGGAATCCAACCATCAGATGCTGGATATGCAGGTGCTGCCCACCTATCGCTTTGCATGCACCTGAAAGAGGAGGTGGACTTGGCATGTTGCAAACACGGGCTCCAATTCTGGCTCCATATCTCAAGGACGGGCTCACCCAGGTGGCTTCTTCCTGAACAACTGGAGAGAGGAGAATTCTTCCTTCCTTCCCCAATGAGGTTTGAACTAAAATACTCCTCTCCCTAATGTGGCTAAACCCCTCAGGGGGGAAAGTTCCCGTTTGTGTGAATGGAAAGTTCCCCACACCTTTTTTATTTATTTATTTTATTTATTAAAACATTTCTATGCTGCCCCTTGCCAAAGCCTCGGGGCGGCTCACAGCACAGAATAAAATACAATAAAATACAAAAATAACAATATAAAACCAACAACATAAAATAAATAACAATATAAAAGAAGTCAAGATCAGAGCCCTTAAGTACTTCTGTCTTTAGTAATTTGGTTCTGATCTCATTGCAAACGGGACAGAGGAGGACATAGTAAATTACATGTATAGCATTGGACTACATGGCAGGTTTGCTGTAAACAGTTCTCTGCCTCCACTACAAGATACGGACAGTAACAGTGGATGCTGCTGCTACTGATTAATGCTGGGGAGGGAGTATTCTGATAACAATGTAGAGGGAAGATATAAATTCCTTTGCACACCATGTTCTTCCTAGGGAATATGACTGCTTCCTCCTAGGGATAGGTGAGAAATCTGATAAGGGGTGAAAATCCAGTGCCCCTTGAATCCTGTTTTGCCATCCCTGCGCTGGTGCAAGCTTGCTTTGATGTGGGTTGAGTCAGCTCACAGGCTTCCAAAGCAGACCATGCGCTGCGCATTCACAGCAAACCAAAGAACAAGCTAAGTGACCGCAAATGGTGCTATTTGCATGATTTACACAACATCACCTTATTTGCATAGATTTGCACAGAGTGGGTGAATTGTGGCATTTTGAATGTTTTCCTCAAATCAGCACCAAAATAGCATGTCATTCTGGCACAATTTCCTAGAATAATAGAGTTGGAAGGGGCCCAGAAGGGAATCAAATCCTAATTTGAGAAAATTAGCCTATACTGAGGTAGCAAATTATTCTTGTTCCATGCTTTTTGGATGCCAATTTGTGTAAGGCATGCAACATCTTGTGAGTTACACAATTTGTATGATGTTACACAAATTTCATAAAATTATGCAAACATATGCAAATTGTGTACGTGTCATCAAGTTGTCTTTGATTTTGCTGACCCTATGAAAGAAAGCCCTCCAAAATGTCTGACCTTGACAGTCCCACTTAACTGTTCTAAATTCAAGACTGTGGAATCCATCCCATATTTTCTCTTCCTTTCCTTTTCTGCCACAAATGTCTTCTCCTGTGGGCCTTGCTTCTCATGGTGTGTCCGAAGTATGATGGCCTCAGTTTTGTCATTTTGCCATTTTTGCTTCTAGGGAATTCTCTGGCTTGATTGGATCTGGAACCTCCTTGTTTGTCTTTCTGTTGGTCCAGGTGTTCAGAAAGCGCTTCTCCAGTCCCATGCATTCATTTTATTCTTTTCAGCATTGAGACTGGGAATACAATGGTGTGAATGATCTTAGCCTTGGTCTTCACTGAAATGTCCTTACACTTGATGAACTTTTCTAATTCCTTCCACCTCAGTCATCTTCAAATTTCTCAGCTACAGTCGCCTCTTAAATGGATGACTGAACCAAGGTACGCAAATCTGCATATTAGGGAAAATCCATACAATAGGCATCTATTAGGACAAATGGGCCCACAACTGCTCATTGATTCCCATGCAAACTTTAAAAATAGTTCTCACAGTTTGAGATGATCTAAACTTAAAAAATAGAAAAATGAGATACTAATGCTGATGGATTTGCTTATCTTCTAGAAAAGGATGCCCTACCTTTGCTACAGAACCACAAAATGAGGGTACTAGTTATTTGGCTTCCAAAAAAGCAGTGACCATGGGGTGAAAAATCTCTGGCTTCCTTGAGCAGTGGATTTGGGGCTCCTCGGAGTGGCTGAGGGGACAATGGCCAGCTCTTCGATGCAAAGTTCTCCTCCTTGAAATGCCCAGTTGCTCAGCATTTCTGTGTGTAGTGCCTGCTCGTTTTCATGAGAGTTGTGCATGCCCTGTGTTAATTAATGGGATGGATACAGGTATATGGATTCTCTAGCACAGGAACCAGAGTCTCCTGTATTGGACAACAAGTCACACTCTAGCCAAGGCGTACCAGTATGTTCCTCTGTCTCCTTGCAGGACCACTGTTATTATGGAGGACACATCCAGGGTGATACCAGCTCTGGCGCAAGCATCAGTACATGCCGTGGTTTGAGGTAAGATGATCGGTAGCCTTTTCAACATTGAGATGGTGATCGGCCATGGTGACTTTCTGCTGTTGAAAAATTACTATTTAATACTTCTCGCTATGGATGCATGTTGAAACAGGATAGGCAAATGGTCCTTCAGAGAACGTTTCTTTTGGTGAGCAATGGGTACTGCTCAGTTCTCATCAACCTCAGTCCCCATAGTCAAGATTAGTCAGGCAGACAGGAGTACTGAGAATCATCACCAAAATATCTGGAGGGTGGCAGGATTAGGGCAGGATCGACTATTCCAAGTGGGAACAGCATTAACACACAGCATAGTCAAGCCAAGTTGTTTTGGTTGTCTTGAAGTAGAGCAGCAAATCTGTCTCTCCCCACCCTGCTGCTGCTACTCAAGGTAGGAGGAGGTGGATTTGAATCATGAATTCTTTCATTATGATTGCCATAACTATCATTATTTAGGAAAGGAGGTTCCTTGATTAGTAGAAACTGGGTGTTCAGCCTCATCATCCTATTCTGAAATGGTGTCTTCCAATGTTTTTCAGAGGGTATTTCAAGAGTCGTGGCAAGAGGTACCTTATCGAACCCTTGAAGCTTTTGGACAGTGAAGCTCATGCAGTCTTCAAATATGAAAGTCTAGAAAAAGAAGATGAGGCCCCCAAAGTCTGTGGGGTGACCAACACTACTTGGCAAATGGAAGAACCAATCCAAAAAATTGCCAGGTCAAGCACAAGTGCAGAAGTAAGTCTCAGGTCACATCGTCAAGCATAATCTCAAGAAGACAGGTCGCAAGTCATCATTCAGTGCTGCAGAATTCGATGGGGGCACAAAAACCAGGTTGAAGAAGCTTCTAAAGCCCTGCTCAACTCATTCTGGGCAGAGGAGAAGCTGGCTGAATGGGAGACTGGAGGGAAAAGAAGTACATGGGTGGTGCTGATTTGTGGGAGCAGGGTGTTGTGGGTTTAGGAGTTAGACTTTTTCTTTCACTTCCAGAATTTCATTGGTGGGAATTATTTCCTTCTCACCCTGCTCCCCATGGGGGTGGACATTTCAAAGAAAAATAGTGGTGATGGGGGAAGTTTTAATTCCCCTTTCACAGCTCTATGGTCCTCTTTGAAAGTGGGACTGCGTCCCATGCTAATCACATAATGGGCCAGAAAAAAATGACTCAGGCAACAGAAAAGCTTCATAGGGAAAATACTTCATTGTGGCTGAATATTTCTCCTGGAAGTTTGGAATCGGCATAAGAATGGCGTTCAGGTTTTAGCTGGGATGGGTAATTGAAGACTTAATCTTTCCTGAGACTATGCATAGCAAAAAAATGTGCATAACAAATGTGGCCTATTGACCTTTGTGATGCAGAACAATAATTTGGTTCAAGCAACAACGAAATAAAAAAACCAATAGAAAAGCTGTTCCTCAATGGAATTTAATTTTGTTTGCTGGAAAATGTAGTGCAGAGTATCAGCTTTCAAAGGAGATTTAGTTGACTTGTAGTTACCCTCCCTCTGTGCCTTTTTGGGGGGCATAAAAGTACCCCACAGAATCATTTTCATCCAAATTTTGTAACATTTTTGGTGTTGGTTTATCAAAAGAGTACAATCCTGCATATACAGTGTGCACTATGCAAGATTAGTAGCCAAGTTAAGGATTGCCTGTTACGCCACCATCCATTAATGATTTGTGTTCATACAGGCAGGGCTGTTTTTGTGCTCTAAATATTTGCATCTCACCATCTTCAAAATGAGCGTGGTTTGGGATATACAACAGTGACACTATTTGGGAAGTGACTCATCAAAACATCTCTGCATCTCAGCAGATTTCTTCAAATGTGGGCAGCCTCAGCTTCTGCCTGGGATTGCATTGCATAATTCCTTCAGCCCTGAGATTTTTTCCATTCCTCAAATGCAAAACATTTAACAAGCTCTGACCCTATCCACGTCTTGTTAAATGGAACCAGTGCTTCCAAAACATGGTGTGCGTTGACCAGGCTGTAAAACCAGCTTTTTAAAAAAGGTTATCTGATGATTCAGCATTCTTGCCGACTTCGGGGGCTGGGACGTTGGCCACTCTGCATCCATCTGAACCGTCTTCACTGTCTTGTTCCATTTAGAAGCAGGCATACCTGAAGAGCAGGAAGTACGTGGAACTCTACATTGCCGTGGACAACACAGTGGTAAATATCACTGTCCAGCTCCCAGACAGCCTTGGCTATGGAGCAGTACAGAAATGAAATTAGTAATGAGAATGAATGCTTTTGCTTCCTTTTACAATTCTTTCCGGCCGTCCCCCATCTCTTTTTTACTGGAAGAGTATTTCTATGTCTCACGATCATGTGGAGCGTGTCATGGCTTATGAATCCAAAATGACACCACCAAACTTGGGAGAAATCTTAGATTTGAAGAAGCATCCAAATCTTTTGGGGAAAACCCTATGCAGGGGAAAAACGTAGAACAGCCCAGTGTGGCCGGAACGTTCTCAGTACGCATGAAGCGCTGACTAAGGGCTGGAGAAACACGCCTTTCTCTAAAAACAGAAACGCAATGAGATGGCAGAGGAAGGGGGTGGTGGAAGGAAGCATACATCCCGAGCAAATGCAGCACTAATCCAAGTGAAGGCCCACGCTTCTACCTCGCTTCTTCATCTCCAAGTTCCACTGAGCCCCAAATTTTCTGTTTCCAGGAGCCAATCATCCTCATCTTGGAAGTTCATAGAGGGGACCAGTGGTGAAGAGCTTCCCTTATTCTTTTTCCTCAGCATCTATTTGCTTTTAATATTTCTTAACCACTCTTTATCCAAAGGATTCCAGAGTGGGATACTGTCAGCATCCTGGAATCTCAATTTGAGAAGAGGGAATAAAACTCAGGTTCGTGGGAAAGACCAAGGGTCCAGACCATCTGAGGCTTTATTGTTTTGCCCCCAAGGTTCCCGCGGTTCTCACGATAATGCATGCTGCATTACCGGGCAGGCAGAGGTGAACTCTGCTGCAAAGCTTCAATACCATTACAGGGCATTTATAGGTGCACAGGTACAGGGCAATTGATGACAGAATGCAGAGATTACAATGCGATTCTGAGGTCATCACGTACAGAACAGATAAAGAAATGTCAGTCAATCACACTGTAACAATGAGATTAAAATATTTCTAATTGTCTGTATTGAACTTTAGTTGAGTAACTTGAACCCATCTCCAGGTCTGCTCAGACATGCAAATTCAAGCCACTAGAAACTATTCATGATAAGCTCAGGCCCTTATCTCGACTCTAAACATTCTGCATGATCAGGGCACATGAAGTCCTCTGGGCTATCAAAAGATTATTGTAAACTGAATTCCAACAATGACTATTTATAATGGATATTTGGGCTAAAATGGCCTACTGTAGCCTACAGCTAAAGGTGAGAGAAAGGAGCGGGGGAACTCCATTTTAAACAGTGACAGCTTGGTTTGGAGAAGGAAGACAGGATTTGATCCCACAATGCAAAGGCACACAGGAGTAATGCTTTTCAGACAGGATTTAACCAAATCTTCCCAACAATACAAAACTGTGCTTAGAAGTATTTATGCACACGCATATCTATATATTATGCTAAAGAAAGGATAGCATAAGTAAACACAGCAACAAATTAAACAGAATAAAAAGCAGACTCACAACATAAAAATGAAGACAGTGACCTTTCCTTTAAAATGCTGAAAAGATGGTAAGGTTTTAAATCGCACAGTGCACTGGTTACAATATACTATGACTAATTTAAGTGATATAATAAACCTTTTCTCCCTAGAAGCAGCTTCACTGATTTTTCACTTCGTAGATATCTTCCTTTTTTTTTCATGCCCTCTCCTCTGCTTCTGTTTGCATCTCTCTCTCTCTCTCTCTCTCGCTCTTTCTCTTTTTCGCTCTCTCTCATTGAAGTCTCTTCCTAACACTTGCATTTTTGTTATTTTGCAGTTCAGGAAGTACAGCCGCAACCTGAATGGCGTAAAGACAAGAGTATATGAAATTGTCAACTATATAAACCTGGTAGGATGTCATGCCAATCTTTTTCTTGAAGTTTCTCAGTGTATTTTTGTTCTGATAATGTTTTGTCCACCTTGCAGGTTTACAAAGCCATAAACATTCATGTGGCATTGATTGGCCTAGAAATTTGGTCAGAAGGGGATAAGATCATTGTGGATGAATCAGCAAGCGTCACCCTGGACCGGTTTTCGGAGTGGAGGCAGGACGTTCTGCTTAAGCGGAGAAAGAACGATAATGCTCAGTTACTTACGTATGTACTGCAGTGGTGAAAAGGAGCGGGTACAGCTGGGTGTGGACTACAGGACGATATTTTGTGGGTGGCATGGGACTCAGGCACTCACCTACACACTTGAGATGCTCCAAATGTGTGTTTGGGGATTGTTTTCCCAGAATGCTGTCAAGGTGAGCCTGTGGTAGAGCTACCTATAACGGTCTTAATTTTTCACAGTCTCTGGATAGGGTGCATCCTCAGACTAAGTGGGTTTCTATGACATGACTGGTTTCTTGCACAAGACGGTCTGTTGTGTCATCCAAAGCCCGTTGTTATATTTCAGCATGGACTGTTTGGTTTTTAGAAACCACTGTAAGAAACAGCAGTCTTTTCTAGGGTTTCCACACTTCACCATGGGTTTTCCAGTTTTCCAGTCCTGGTATTCAGCTGCTGCAGAAAGAGCAGCAGCAGCAGGAGCTGTTCCAGCCATCCAGTGTCTGATTGAATTTCAGGCACTGTGGCAGATGGGATATGTGCCAATGGCAGGAGGACTGAGCAAGGAGGGTAGAAACCATGCTATCAGAGAAAACACTTGGTCATCTCTCAGGAACATTCATGAAAAAACACATATACCATGGAACCTATGCAGGGTTGCTTGTCATGACTTGCAAACCCAGGCACTGTCTCTGGCTAGGGAAGAACTACTTTCTCTCTAAACAAAGGTATCTAGATTTCTTTTAAAATGAACGCTGTCTGTGTTTTGTGGATTTCGAGCTGTCTTTCATCCCGTTGTCTGCACATTGGCAGAAGCAGATATTTGCCTGATTCTGCTTGCAAACAGGCATTTGTGCTAATGCACAGATCTACCCCCAGACACCAAAACACAAATCAGATTTCCACGTCAAGGAATGCACATGACTTAGAGAAAGGCAGCTACCAGTCAGGTCAGGCTGGGGTGGGGATGATGTCAGAGGTACAGAGTTCTGGACCTCTTTGCAGCACATAGAAACAGACCTGGACATACTTTCCGTCACTCACCAAATCCATGCTTCTAGTGCCCCCTGCAAACTGGGCCCTGCATGGGACCAGTTCTTTTCACCTGCATCCAAACTGCGACTTCTGACCTACACTGCAGTTAACAACAGGGATGGCACCCCTTGGGGTGGGATTCCTCCAGGGAGTGCAGCTTGAAGGCCAAATCCCACCAGTGTAGGAAGCCAGGGAAGCTTTGGCTAGACTGGGAAATCTGATGCTCCAGTGATTCTACGTCCCTGGTGCAGAATCCACAATGCCAGACAGAAAAATTGGTGGCCTCTTTGCCTGGGGCAGTGACAATACAGCAAAGTAATACAGTTCTATGAAATCCCACCGTCTTGTTCTCCCCTGCCCTCTTCTTTTTTGCAGGGGTATTGACTTCAATGGACCAACCGTAGGACTGGCCTATGTGGGGACCATGTGCAATCCTTCCCATTCCTTGGGAATTGTCCAGGTTTGTGGGATCAGATAATATCTGGAATAACCAGCATTAGCTGGCAGGCAAGGGAGGCTTATAAAGAGGGCAACCTTTGTGGGCTGGTGGGCATATCTGGAACATGTTAGAAACTCTCCTGGGTGCCTGCACCACACGGGAGGTGTGGCTGGTCACCAAGGCCCATCACCATGTGGTTCAAAGATACTCGCAGGAATTGAACCAGGTAGTTACTGCATGCTATTTCCTCGCTTTCAAGCTATCCCAGCTGCTGGTAAGAATTCTAGTTTTACTTTTATTTTATTATGGTGGGGGTTAGGACTCCTTGATGGTTTCAAGAAATGTGCCCATGGTTCATTTCTGACTATGGGTGCTACTCTGCCTGCCTCTGTCATTTCTTTACTACAAACAAGGGTGGGTGGGTGGATGGGTCTCTTTTTAATTCACTTCACATATGTTAATTCATGAGTCCAAGAGATGTAGGAAGTCAAGGAATCTTTGTGAGCAAGATAGGGAAGTTCTCTTCAGTTCTCTTTATTTCTTAATCATGCATTGTTTTAAACAGACCCAAACTATGCAGTCCATACACACTGAATAATACTATATACATTTTATATGCATTTTATTGGAAAAGACATGTTTTGCAATACACCCATTTTGGTATAATTATAAAGCCAAAACCAGCATTTTAAATTCAGAGAAGTGCAAAATTAGAAGCATAACTGTGCTCTGTTCCATGCAGTAGTTTGGGAGGTGCAACCATGTGAATTTACTTGCAAAAACAGACTAAATGACATTCTCAAGCCACCTCAGTCATATCCAATTCGTCTGCTACAGCTCCCTCATCCCACAGAACATGAGCAACTTGGTTGTGTGTGCAGCTGAGCTGGCGTAGAATTAAAAAAAATATAACAGAATCCTTAGTTTGCGCACAAAACTGCTTTTAGGGATGCAGGGGCATTTCATATGTGCTCAGAAAACATTTGCGCAGGCTCCCTGCAAAACTCCATCTGCCAGCGCAGCACATGCCCTGATTTGCTCAGAGTTCTTCTGTGGACTGAACCAGCCCCACGTTATTCAGTGGAGGAAAGGTGCACAGATCTCCTGTCCAATTGCTGCTTGATTTCCCATTCACACAGAAGGTAGAGTGTAAATACAAGTAGGATCCAGGTGGGAGATAAGTGGTGGGACAATGTTCAGACAACCTGGGTTGCTCTCGGGCATTGCTCGCTCACCCATCTTGCTACAATCCACAGTGGCGTCAGCATCTGAGCAGGCCGAGTTGGGCAGCTGCCAAGAGTCCATAGCCTGCCAGGGCTCCACCATCAAGAGCCCCTGGAATTGCCGACTCTCCTCCACCTGCTTGTTCACCTGCCTCTCGCACTGGCCTGGTTGTAGATGCTGCTGCCTCCTTGCTCAAGGAGGCCCTCTGCCTGTTCAGCAACCCAGTGGCAGGAAGGAGCAGAAAGAGGAGGAGCAGCCCATGCTCTCCTGGACGGAGGCAGTGTCTGCTGAGGGTGCCTTGCCCAAGTTCCCTTGCAGGCTTGGAGCTGGCCGGACCTCCAGGCTCTGCCGAGGAAGCTGTGCAGCACGTCCTGTGCTCTTTTGCTCAGGTGTGAGGCTCCTCCTTTCATAAACATTGAAGATTGCAGGATTTCATTTCACTGCATTTAGCTTGGCCCAAATACTTCTGGGCTCCTACGTTTCTCCAGTGTGAAGCTGGAAATTATCTTGTACATGTGAGCTCTGCATAGATAACTCAGTTGAGTTGAACACCTCCGACCCAGCAAACAGATGCACGTTTGTTCCTCCATTCTGGAGCCATGCATTTGGTATGCACTGTGCTGGCTATTTTGGGGACTGATCAGAAAATCCAGGAATTTTCAGGTGTGGTGCTTGGTCAATAACACCAGTAGGAGCTGCCCCATCACACATTCATACAATGCCCCAGAAAGATTTCCCAAGGTCGCATCATCATAGCTTCTGTATCGCCTGAAGGGCCTGATCCTGCCTAACCTTGGAAGCTAAGCAGGGCCTGGTTGAAATCTGGATGGGTGGCGTAAAAGGTTCGAACCACCAGAAGAGCTGTGGTTACACACTGTCTAGACATGTAATGTAATAACAATTCTAGGGGCATCATAATGTGGAAAATACTGGTTCACTGAGTAGGCCAGAATTGGCATTTATAGCCGTGACAGAACAATTTTATTTTAAAAGAAGGAAATAGGCAGAGGGAACCTGCCACCCGACAGTTCCAGCTTCTGGAAACTACCAGACCGATTCCCCTTTCATCTTTCACTGGAGACGTCTGTTTGAAAGTTTCTGGCAAAGTGCTAAGAATCATAGCTCTCTTTTGTTTCCTGGAAGACTAACAATAGATCAACTGTTCTCCTTTGTGCAGGACCATAGCACAAATCCCATTGCCATTGGTGCTACAATGGCCCATGAGATGGGCCACAACTTTGGCATGAATCACGACACAAACTTCTGCACATGCAACTCAGGGTCTTGCATCATGGCAGCACAACTCAGGTGAGGGGTCTGACAGCACCAGTGGCTGAAAGGAGCTGCTTCGAAACTGTCTGGAATTAATGATTCAGCTAAGGAGGCAAAGTGCAGAATTCCTATCAAGGTGGGGCCCTATTATGGGTGAAGTCACCTGGGTGCCCTGCTGCACAGCCAGGTCATGGAAATCACAGCATGTGGGACGTAGGGAATTTATAACCAGAAAAGTTAGGTAAGATATGCTAATATACTGGAAGGTCACTTGGCGTGAAGGAAAGGAAAGCTTTTCTCGTGGTTGCTAGGCTATTATCTAGAGAATATATACAAGCTGTGTGCAAACAAATCTCTTGAAAATCTCCAGAAAACTGGGAAGACCATTCCCCTGAATTTCCCCGGCAGGAGGAGAAAGTCTTCAAAGGTTTCTCAGGCATGGTGACCACCTTTTTCAGTACCCTAGTTGCATTGTGTGGCTTCGCTTCACTACTAGGGCAGCTTGGCCACCATATTACATGGTACACAATGATCCAGAGTGGATGAAATTTGTCACAAGACATTTTGATGAGAATATTTCTGAGGCTGAGGGCTGGTTCTCAGCCCTCCTAGAAATTCTCTACCATTTCTGGTGGCCACCAATGGTAAGATGGAGAACTGCCATCAATTCTAGCATCATTCCTGTTGGGCAGCTTAATAGCAATTGCATTTTTTTCTGCTTCCAAGGATACTTTCAGACTTGCAGGGAAAGAGATGGTGTTCCATGCAAATTAGGCCAAGAAAGGCAAAATGGAAAAGCCAATGGGTGACAGGAGAAAGGGTTAACCAGTTCCTCCCGCACTGATCTTGTTTTGAAAATGGCAGAAGCTTCCCTCTCCCTCTCTTTTCAAGTTTGGGGGTGATTGATTGTGTGCCAGAATATCTCTGAAACCAAGAGAGAGCAAACATTTTGTTCACTGGCCCTTGTCTTGCTTGCCTGATCATTTATGATCACAAGTCATCACAGGCATCTCACTATCAGAAAAAAGCAGCGGCTGCAACAACCCACCTATAACCTACTGAGTCTACCAGGACTCCTGCTGACAAGCTTGTGCAGCAGGAGCCCGGGGTGCTCATGGTCTCGTGCTCTAATGCAATGAGCTATGCAGGCCTTCCTGCGTCATCTGCAGGTAAAATGCCCTTGAAATGGCTCGCTCGGCATTTCACACGGAAAATCTTGCTTAGAGAATGACTGCTTTGTTCCAGAAAGCAAGTGCTGGACTTCCTGGCACAGCATTAACCTTCTCGGAAAACCACATCACTGTGGCCAGTCTCTCTTGCTAGGCAGGGCACATTCCTAGGTGGGGCATTTGGGGGAAGCGGAGGGGGCATGCTGGCCAATTCCCCCTGCCCCCCACCACTGGTGAAGGCGATGTAAGGGCCGGCACAAGGGAAGGGAAAGGAAGGGATTCCCCCCACCCTGTACTCCCACTCCATACAAGAGAGCGCTTTGACCTCCATAATGGGCTATAGGATCCAGGAATTAGATGACTGGCTTTTTTGTTTGTTGTATAAGAAAAAATGACAGTAAGAATATAGTGAACAAGGGCAGAACAAAAGGTATAAAGCTAAGAAAGTATTTCCTGCTGTGATGAACACGTTAAAACTTGTGTGCAGCTTGTTTTCTCAAAACAAAATTCAGTTTTATTCTTTTATCATGACAACCACAATGCAAAAAGCGGGTTTAGAAAGAGTGTGAGCCCATCGCAAGGTACCTGCAGTTGACCATTGACTGAGAATGGGGCTGAGAACAATATGCATCACTTTTCTTGTTGAAGGCTGAATCCTTAACTTTGTAAAATGTTTGCTGCATAAAAATGCTTGAGAAACATGCAGGAAAGATTTCTGAACATAAGCTTCACAATACACCCTCTCAAAAAGAGAAAAAATGCCCAGATTTCACTTTTCAGTTGCAATTTTCAGCTGTTAAAGAATTAATGTTTTGTTTTGTTTTGTTTTAAATCATAGTTACGGTTAGCTGTCCACTTTTTTCCAAATACAAGAAAAAATCAGATTTCGTAGTGGCTGTGAATTGTTGAAAGTCTCTGTGACTGAATGGTCCCAGTTAGAACAAAAACTCACAGATGGTAATGCTTCAGGTCTCTGTAGCACCTGGAAGTTGATACAGATCCACAAATATCATTTTTGATGGTGGATCTCTTGGAACACGTTCAGATTATTAAGGTTTTTTCATCATGACTGAGAATCCAGAGAGCTAAGTGGATTTGCTTGCTCAAAATTCAAGTCATCAGCATATGCTTCTACAGTGATACTTGCATCATTTTTGGAAAATCTTAATTTCATTTAAATGAAAACAACATAAATGTCTCCAAAATATGTTATTTCTACTTTGCATTGTATCACTTATTTTACTAATCTATTTTGACATAACCAAATCTTTAATGCTTACACTGGTCTTTAGTGCTGGCTAATTGTTGAGCTCCTGCAATTTTTCAGTTTCTTGATGGACTTCATGCAAAGGGTTAATGTTCATCCTTTGCCATCAAGAGTAGAAGAACAATGAGAAAAAAAATAAGCTGCTGTAATAGTGACTATATTGACTGCTTCAAAGGAGTAAAGGGTAACTTAGGACAGGCTTTTTATCATTTTATCTTATCTTGCTATTTCACCCCTTAGCAATAAACACCAATCATGCTCTAATCATCATGATAGCTGTGGAATAAGCCTGCCCGTACCGTACGCTGCAAGCAAAGAGAGAACAGAGCTAAAACAGAACAGGAGAGCAATGGAAAAGGGTGGAGTCCGACTGCAGTGAAAAATCTCACACTCAATTCTTCCAGGGTTGTTTTACCAAGCAGGCTGTACAGGATTCCTGGATTTTCAGGATCATGGAAATAATTGCCCGGTGACTGTGATCACTGAGGCTGGGAGAGTCGTGACTGAGCAGACTTTTTTGAGGGGGAGGGGGGCTCTTCCAAATGCAGCTTTTAAAAAATATATATATATGCAGGCTCTGCCTTATTCGCTGAATTTTCTGGAGTATCCTATTTTTCAAAAGCTCAGAGCATCTTCCATCATTGAAATGGAGGCTGACACGGTCTGTCCTGTCACAAAACAGAAGACAAATTTCCAAAAAGTTCCTAGGAAGAAAGCACAGTTCTGGGGGTGTTATACACCTCTCTGCCCCTCCCTGCCCATTGGGCAGCCTTTGCGGTTAGCATTATGCCGGCTTTGTGACTCTACAATGCAGGGAAAGACTTACATCCCACTCCTCAGGGATACCTTAGTAAGAATTATATTATGTGCTGAGGACGAAATACGTGGCAAGCCGGTGACTCACACATCCCTCCAAAATAACCCCTATTCTCCCATATTTTGCAGGCTACATAAGAGATGCCTGAATTGCAGCAAGCCCTGGTTTATCCACTGTATCCCCTCAGCAGTGCAGAGAACATTACAATGGATAGTTTGGGTTGGTTTAGTGCTGAAGGACCTGTTTCCATATTTGTTGCCTCTCATGCATCAAGAAGCCACCAGATGAATTTGTTTGTCCACGCAACCCTATCACCTACTTTTGGCATCGTTCTTTTTAACTGGAGAGAATCTCTGCATTCAGAGTAGGTGCTTTACCACTGATCTGTGCCCGTGGTTCGTTTTTACAGCTACAACACACCCCAGTATTTCAGTTCCTGCAGCCTCCAAGATTTTCAGAAATACATTTTGGAGAGAAGCCCAGCTTGTATCGTCAACATGCCGTTGCCACAGGACATCGTTGCAAAGCCAGTGTGCGGAAATGACTTTGTGGAGGAGGGGGAAGAATGTGACTGTGGTTCTCCAGAGGTATCTTATTTTCAGAAACTGTCAGGAAAAGCAACCTGCCGAGAGATGGGATTCTTGCAGAAGCTGCTTGCATTTGAAGCCTCCTGTCTGCAGGCAAATTCTGTGATTAGATGCACTTTGGGTGGAATAGGAACAAAAATACCCTAATTCCAACACCTATATATGGTTGGGATAGATGGATTTTGTAAAATCCACTGTCTGTGCTTTGCATGTTGCCAGGCACCTTTGCTCATTGACAGAATCAGATTTTGGGAAATGTGTTTGTACCATTCATACAAACTGGCATGTGCCCAACTTGCACACTTGGAAAAGTGCTAAGCCCCCCAAAGTGTGCATTTCCCCAGCTAGCCTACTGGAGAAATGCGCATTTGTTATTTTTAATATTTTTCCAATAAATGGGCAGAAAATGATGGGCATTTTGGAAATGGCTAAAGAATTCATGGAATTTGCACAACCTGGGAAGATCCAGTGTGGAATCTGTGGGTCAGATTCTTAGAAATTTCAGCTCATTGGAGTCCATTGCTAGTTTCTCCAGCATCCTTGACTGAGGTCAGAATATGCTTGAATTTGTGCAGCCCTTGCTAGCTGAAATCTTACGAGGCGGACAGGTCCCAGAGCTCCAAAGGACAGAGGTATGTGTCTACGTAGGGGACATGACATCTTCCTGCAAAATCCCACAAGGAGCAAAACCAGAATTTCTGATGCAAACAACTGCAGGAAAATGATTTATTAGGCAAATGTGCTTGATTTGCACAACTTGTGTGGGCTGCAGAATTCAGCATTTTTTGACAGAGGATTTGGGTGACCTTGGTGCATGTTTTTGAAAGATGCATTTTTCTGTTTTTTAGCATCAAAAACATGTTCAAATAAGCACAGCACCTGCAGCTCATAAGAAGCAACCGGGCATATTACCTTCAGCTCACTGACATGTACATGCGGTCGCTCGTGCAAATCATGAAGCTTGCTGCAGAAATTCCTTTGCCTTATAGACTATCTTCCCCAATAAATACTATCTGGAAAAGTCCAGACTGAATGGTCTGTTAAGGCAAGTAGATAATGTACTTCTGTTCTTGTTTTTAAGGAGTGCAAAAATGAGTGCTGTGACGCCGCAACATGCAAACTGAAGCCAGGTGCTAAATGTGGATTCGGGGAGTGTTGTGAGAACTGCCAGGTAAAGCTTCATTTCTTATGGGAAAATACATCTCAGTCCTACTATGCATGAGCCAGGTGGAGATTTAGTATTCACATCTCTCTGACGCTTACCTTGTCTGTGAGCATCTTCACCTGTCTCACTGTCCCTTCCACTAGTTCAGTTGAAACTAGATCAGTCCAAATTCCAGCTGAAATCTTAGTCTGGAGATCCTTCTGCCCCTTCCTGGATCCGTGTTGAGTTGGAGCCTAATCCAGATGGGATTGGTGCAGAAGCTGAGGCACATGAGCCATATCCGGCTCTTGCGGGGTGCCAGTATGACATTCCGGGACTTTGCAAAGGAAAACACCTCTTCCCCTGCCTCCACCTGTTTTTCCCAAACACTGGTCACTTTTTCAGCTTCTGTGCAGACTCCCCATGCACCACTATTCTAAAAGCAAACCCTGAAATGGCTCCACCAAGGCTTAGCCAAACAGCAGCAAGAGATTTAAATTAAAATAGCCTAGTGTTTCAGCCCTGTATCTTTTGTCCTTGGATTTGCCTCTTCTGCCTTCAGCCACATGCCCCATGGAAATTTTGCTCTTGATCTGGAAATCGGCCTTGGGCCTCAAAGAGGTTCAGAAGTGCCACTGTATGGGATCTAAATTGGGCCCTTTTGACAGGCCCAGCCTGTGGCACATGCAGCTGTGATGCTGTTATTGCCCATCTAGGCTGGTGTTGCGGGGGCCTGCCGTTCCCAGTATCCCCGGTGGCGGTGTGTGGATGCGTCGTGTGTGGGTGCCTTCAGTCCCCGATTCAGGAGCTGAATGCCACTTACTCCTGGAAAGTCACACAAGGCAGAGGTGGCGCTCCTCTGTCTGATCATGAGGCAAGTGCTCTGGAGCTCTTGGGGCCCCGTCTGGAGCCTGGGCTCCTTCTGGAGCAGGCTGAGGCGTGCTCTGGATGCCCAGCCTTCATGGCGATCTGTGGATCCATGAAGCCATGATCTCTGGGCCACCTCTAATACGATCAGCGACGGAGGAATGGGACGACTCTGTCTTTGCCCAACAGCTGAGAGCCGCAGGAGCAGTCTGCCGCCCCGCGAAACACGACTGTGATCTGCCGGATCTGTGCACGGGCCACTCCCATCAGTGCCCCGCCGATCGCTTCCGTGTGAACGGACACCCGTGCATGAACCATCAGGGGTACTGCTACATGGGGCAGTGCCCCACTTTGCAGAACCAGTGCACTGCCCTCTGGGGGACAGGTGAGTGTGTGTGCCCTGGAAAAGCAGGACATCGGGAATGAGAGAGCTTGAGCACAGGAGAGGGGCCCCACTTGCAGGTTTGCAGGGCTCCACTCGTGGGGAGCCCACGTGACCAAGCTTCTTCCACAGCAGGTGCCACCTCTGACGGAGTCTCTTCCCAAACAGTTTTCTCTCACATCTGTAGCTTTCATCAACCTCACGTCAAGAGTAGCCAAAGCCAAGCAAATTATTACGAAACCTCAGTTAGGAAGGCTCACCAAAAGATTTCTTTTCCATGGCATACAAATACTAGTTTGTTATAACGCTTTGAAATCCATCCGGTATAGTTCATATGTTTATATAATGATTAAGACTCATAATAGTAAACTAGCCGTATCGGCAATTACTAACATTCAATTAAACCACCATTAATAGCTGCTTTGCGTTATCTGAAGCCCTTGCTCTCCCTCTCTCTCATGTGCATTCACTCATGCACAGAAACACAACGCAACACACACTGATGAATTCATGCATTTGCTTTTTCGTTGCAGCTGCCACGGTGGCTTCAGATTCCTGCTTTGCTATCAATAAGAATGGAGTTTACTATGGCCATTGCAAGAAGGCTAACGGCACATTCCTCCCATGTGGAAAAAAGTAAGCAATGCATATTCTTCACTGCTAGGAATTGTGGCATTCTCAGGAAAGATGGTCTGAGGAAATATGTTTCAGCTGAGAAAGCCATCCTCCTTGCTGCCTCTTTCCCAGGCTTCTTTGGAAGCTACCGTCAAAGGAAGGTATCTTGGTAGACAGAGAGACCTGAAAGTCAAATGCCCCTCCTTGATACCTTCTCCTGGAGAAGTGGGGTGGGAAACACAGTTCTGATCAAATGAGGTTGTTGTTTTTTTTTAAAGTCCTTCCCCGCTTCTCTCTGTACACACACACACACACACACACGCACACACCAGGCTGCCTTTGAAGGCAGGGATAATGCAGACTGATGAGCGTGGGAGAAGGGTTTCCATTCCCAAGTTCTTTTGGTCCACAACCAAAATGTAGTCATCACAGTTCTTTTGAACCTTTAAATCCCGCTTGAAGAGCTTCTAATAATCGGGTTGGTAAGAGTGGAGTAGTCCTCTGCTTGTCCATCTCAGGCAATAAATAGTAACAAATAAAGGTTAGTTAATGGACAAATGATAGTACCAAGGGAATGGATTCAATAGACTGTTTTATTAGCCTATTCATAAATAGAAATTATGGATACCTGTCTGTTGCCTTTCCAGAGATCTGAAATGTGGCAAGTTGTATTGCACTGGCGGTTCAAGAATGCCTTCAGCTGGAAGCCTGGTGACATTTGAAAATTGCAAAGGCAGTTTCCCAAGTGGAACCCAAGAAGATGGTGGAATGGTTGCTGATGGAACAAAATGTGGAGAGAGCATGGTTAGTGCTTCATGTTGAGTGATGTCTTCTCCGTAGTGGTGATTGCAGAGAGAGTTTCTGATGGGGTTGCATAAGATTTTATGTCCCCAGATCATGTAAGCATGTCCCACACTGCTTATGATTCTAAGGTTACAGTGATCATAAGACAAGTTCAGACATCTGAGATGGTTCAGTGCCACCTTGAGCCCGAAGGACCAGGGATTCTCAGCTCAAGCTCCTTGAGGGATGTATCTCCATGGACCACAATTCCACACTTTCCCCCATTCAGTGTGGGTAGGGGGAGTCTGGGCTCACAGGCTCAAGAAAGCAACAGATGGCCTGCTTGGGATCAGACTAGGGTCTGTGTGTGCCTACCAACACGGAGAGGTTGCATTACAGGGCGGCTTTGGTGGCACCTTTCCCCATCACCTTTTACCTGTAGCTGGGACCTGGATTGAACCTGCAACATTTTGCATGGAAAGCAGATGCCCTACCGCTGAGCTATTGTCTCCCTCTAGAGGCGTTCATGAGTACGTGACTTCCCCAATCTACCTGTATTTCTCCTGTTATACTCTCAAACTCCCCTATTCTCTATAATACTCCCCTACTCACTCCCCTAGTATGGGAGCATGAGATGCAGGGCTAATTCTTACTTCTCTTGAGGAAGGTGGGAGATCTCGAGAAATCAAAGCTGGGCCGTTGTGTGGCCCATGGGCCCCCACTGAGCCATCTGTGAGATGGACAGAAGCTGGTAGAAGAAGTACTTCTGAAGCTTAAAGCCATGGTGCGGGTAGAAACACAGCAGGAGGTGGCAGCCTGGTCTTGGGCATTTAAAAAAACATATCAAAAGGGTTTTTTTAAGGTTTCGTTTCCTGATGATCATGTATGGCATTTGGCTTCCAGGTCTGTAACGATGGGCAGTGTGTTGACATTGAGAAAGTCTACAGGTCTACCAACTGTTCCAACCAATGCCGTGGACATGCTGTAAGTGTTACATATTGAAGGAGGAACAAAGCTTTTTAAGGGGTTGTATTGATGCTATGCTTAGAGATGGGCTCCAAAATCCTTACCTTGCCCTGAGAAGTATTTATAGCTCTACTGTCTCTTCCTTCTTTCACAGTATTCTCCCACACTCTGTCCCTCAACTCAACAAGTCATTGTACTTCTCTGAATGCATCTTTTGCTCTTTTGCTCTTGCCATGGTGCGTTTCTCCCCACGCCCAACATCTTTTGCAGCTAGCAATGGATGCCAGTCACCCAGTACTCTCTGAAAAGTCCAAGGTGTCAAGCTATAGGTTGATTTCTAACAGATCATTATCTGCCATGATACTAGAGTAAATCTGGATTACCCAGGAGGGTGGTACTGGAGTTGTATCTGGAAATGTACATGACTCACTAGCTGAGATTCTCATTTGGATCTAATGCCATGGATGACCCCACAGCTTGCTGCACTGTCAAAATAAGTGCTTTACTGAATAGCAAGGTCTTTCTTGCTGGCATGGTCTATTGGTGGAAGCAGGCCCTGAACCAGATACGAATGCATCACCTACCAGCAGCGCTCATTAAATAACCATAAAATTAAAAGCCATCATGAAAAGCAATCATCACCATGATTAAAAAAGCAACAAAATGAGAAGATTGCAACAAAATTAGAGGGAACAGGGAAGTAGGCAGATGATGTCCTGCTAATTAAGAAACATAGAAACCGAGCGAGTCAGAAGGGGTATCCCAGGTCATCTAGTCTGACCCCTGGCTCCAGCTGGCTCTGCTCACGACACGCTCATGACTTAAGAAGTCCTAGTACTTCTACCCGATGAGTCCTCATTCTACTACAAAACCAAACACTTGATTCTTTAGACACATCTTTTAGCCAGCTGGTACATGATGGTTTTGTTGGTCGCCATTTGTTGGACTGTTTGATCTGCAGCACCTGTTTACAGAAGACTAGTCTTGTAGAAAACTAATTAGCATTTTTTAAATTATTGTCATTATGCTTTATGCTGTATAGCTACCACATGTGTCAGCTTGAGAAAAACAGGAGGGAATGAGAGAGAGGGAGAGAGGGAGAGGGAGAAAGAGAGAAAGAAAGAGAAACATGTTATCTGCTTTTTTCCCTCTGAGCGTTCTAGAGACTAATGCTGGGTTTGTTCTGTCAGGTGTGTGACCATGAACTGCAATGCCAGTGTGAAGAAGGATGGGCGCCACCGAACTGTGATGACGCCATATCAAATCGATGTGAGTTAAAGGATGCGGCTGGCGGGGGCGGGGGGGCGACGCCATTGTCCTCCTTTGCTCTACAAAACAGTTCACTGCAGATCCTTTGGGAATCAGATTAAGCACAATCTTAAACAAAACTTTCCAACCCATCTACAGGTGACAAATCTCAGGGATGGGGGATTTTGACTATTTTTAGATAGGGCCTCTTGATGGAATCAGAGGGCTTACCACATGCACTGCTTTTCTGCCATAATGGGTGGAATTTTTCCACCATGATGTCTTCCAAAAATCAACCCCACTTTCAGTGACCAGTTCCTTGACTCCTCACAGAAAAACTGAGTTGTGTTTGAGGTTGTCAGCTTTTAGTTTGGCACCAGTCAATGCACCTCTCTTCATCATTTCACATAATTACGCTAGAATACATATTAAGTTGTGTTCACATTGTTGGAATTCACAGCTACCATTTTGAATGGCTTTCCTTTGCTTCTCATAATGTAAAATTTCCTTCTGAAGTCTGATTTAAGTGGCTTTAGGTTAGTTTTCCTTGCTTATCTCTTCCATATATAATTTATACAAAACACACAGTGCTTTTTTCATACATGAACACATGTTCCTTCTTGTAGAAGAGAATCACAATCAAATCCTGGTTTGGGAAACCTGGTTTGTTAATTCACTAGAATTTGGGCATCCTGTAATTCCCTAAATTTGTACAAAATGGCAAACTGATTAAGAGCAAATTTTTCAATCCTTGCCTGTGGTGAAGGGAGAAGGAATGAGATTGGGGGCGGGTACATGAATCTTACAAAAGTTTATTTGCATTAATAATCCATGGTTTGGATGACTGTCTGAACTGGGCCTCAGGATGAGACATGCTAATTTGACTAGTGGTGAGATCCAAGCAGGGTTCATTCTCACATTTACTGTGTGCCATTATTTCTCTCAACAACCCTCTAAGCTAGATCAGCTTGAAAGACTTGGCCAAGCAATCCGGTAGGCAGAGATTTTGGTCCAGGTCTTTCCAAATAATACTCTTAACCACCACACAAGAGTAGTAGGTACAGGAATTGTCCATGTCAAAAGTAAAGAATGCAAAAGCTTGAGGGCAACAAAGCGAATGGCTTCTTTGTTTCCTGCAGTGTAACCCCAGAACCTCTTTTTGTTTGCAGATATTATCATCATTGTTGCTGTGTTGGCGGTCCTTTTATCCATCGCTGTTGCCATAACCTTCCTGTTCCGTTGCCAAATTTTGAGGAAGAAAGGAAGTCCAAGGTGAATCTTTCATGCGCAGAATTTTCCACTTAACTCCCTCTGGGTGTCTAGGGGCCACATTGCCAGGAATGAGGTGGGAGGTCCAGATTGAGAGGGTGGGTGGAACACCACAGTTGTCTTGCATAAAGAGAATTCCATCTGAATTCCAAAAACCTTCTCATCTGAAGCTGCGAAGCAGGATGGGATTGAGCTAAGGTTTAGGAGATTGTGTCTGACACCAAATGAGTGGGGAAAAATGGGTCCACCTATCACAAAGAGCCACACTAAGAAAATAAGCGATGTAGTACAGAATTCCATCCAGTGGCTAGACATGTGCTTGCCAATATCCCCACTTTTTGAAAAAGAAAGTTCCTAGTCCTCTGTATTTCATGAAAGATCTCCCCCGCCCCACTGCCGCACCTTCTCTCTCTCTAAAAACCAATAACCCGTGAAACTGTTTCCTCTCCTCTCGCACATTTGCTGCCTCTCTTTGGAGCTGAAATTTGTCAGATGGCCCTCCGATCCACTCTGGCAACCAAGCACTGGGGGCAGGATGGGATGGATGGGGTTGAACTGCAGTTTCCCAACACCGCTCTCCAGCACCAGCCAGACTTGGAAGCACCAGCTTCCTTTTTGCTGCCTCACTGCCAAAATTCAGTGCCCCCACCCCTAGCAGAGCTTTCATTCATAGGGTCACTATTTGTCTGAGAAGATTAGAGAGCCTGTCACAGCGACAGTCCCCAGGAAAGTAAGGAAACAAACAGGTGGCAGGCTTTTGATGTTCTTTAATTCAATGGTTTCATGACAGCACCCACAAGCGTGTGGCTGGAGCCACAAACCTCGGCTTCTCGGGGCAAGAACAGAGGATCAGGCAAAATGCTGGCCCCACACCTGGCCCTCCAGAGGTAAGATGTACCACAGGAAACAACTTGATAGTAGAACATCTGTACTCCACCCACTTGTGGGTGGACTCAAAAAATGTTGGGCTGAGACACAATAAATTTCTTGTGAATTCTGGTTATTGAGCTCCTTACAGTGTGGACATGAAATGTGGCCACCCAAAACCAAGGTAGTGGCTTCTGTACATCCTTGAGTGGCAGCAGGAAGGAACTCTGTAAGTGCACAGATGTGTATAAGTTTGTAAATTGAAAGACGCATATTTTTAAAGAAATAGAAAGCCAGCCTTTCAAGATCCTGTGTTTCAAGATGTTCAGGATGTTACAGGAACATGGATGTGCAGGAAGGTCAATGGACTTGACGTGCTTCAGCCTCTCAAGGATCATAGAGTGTATCTTAGAGGTGGGAGGGAAGTGGAGGTGGGAGATACATGTGCCACAAAGTGAAAATCCTCCTTCCTCTGCACCTTGCAGGGTTGTTCCAAGAGAAAGGCAAGCAACCGTTCCACTTTCTCACTCTCCAGATGCCCATCCTGTTATCTACCTATCCAATGTTCAGGTGCACAGCTGGCAGGCAACCCAAATCTGGGCTTCTGCCACTGGTCTGAACATAGCTCCACTACAGCCTGAGGTGCTTGATCCTGCCTACTCTGGGAAGCTATGTAGGATTGGGCCTGGAGGAAATCTAGATGGGAGACCTGAGTCCTGCATTGAACAGGCAGTTGGACCTGATGGCCTGCTAGGCTTCTTTCAACTGTATGATTCTATGATTCTATAACAGACCTATTACAATGAGCCCAGTGGCCCTCCTGGATAAATATTTTAAGTGAGCTGTGCTGGATGCTTGAGAGCAGGGCTTTGTTCCTTCTGGATGTCGAACCTCTTACGAGTTAAGGTAGAAACAAAGAAATGTAGAATCAGAGTTAGTCAGAAGTTGGCTCCACTCATGACATGCCTACCATGTGCACGTCCAGCCTAGCCTTAAACACCTCACCGCTGGGGCTTCAACCACCTCCCGTGGAAGCCCATTCTGTACCCTTGGGGTCCTAACCATCAGGAAGTCCTTCCTGGCATCCACCCTAAACCTTGTTTCCCTGAGCTTTGCTCCATTGGAACACATCCTGCCCTCCACTGCAGGGGGGAAAAGGTCATGACCCAGGTAAAATAGCTTTTATTTGTCTTTCATTTATTCTTAGGATTATTGTTGTGGTTCTTCTTATTATCATGTGTATATTCCACCTTTTGTCCATAATGGAACTCCAGGGGATTGCATGGGTTCTCCATTAGTCCTAAATAGGCCTCCCCTCCAAGAATCAGATCTACAGAATCAGATCTACAGGTGGCTGCCTCCTGCACATTCAGGCCATGCTCTGAGACAACCTTGTATACGTTTATAGAAATATGGAGGAACAAGACTGTATCTCTTATACTTCATCTTAAGATGCTGCAAAACTCTTTGTGGTTTTTAGTGCAAGAATAGCACAACTGTTCCCTTCCTGTTTTCAGGTTAACTCAGCTAGATGTCTTCTTCCTCCACCTCCACCGCAAGCAAACAAGCCATCAGTTTGTGTTGTGGTAAGTAGAACTGAATGAGATATTTCTTGGCTAAGGCACAGGACTTAATATACTGATAATGCAGTAAATATCTAAGGAACCAAATAAAACTGAAGGGGCCATGGGTACGGACGTATACAACTGTATCTCCCTGTGGGGACAGCACAATATAATGAAACAGCTTTTAAAATGCTCCAATTTAAAAAAAAATGCAGACTCCGCAGAACAATCTAGATATTAGGAATGTATGAGGCATTTAATTGTTGCTGTCATGTGCCATCAACTCGTCTTCAACCTATGGCAACCCTATGAAAAGCTCTCTAAAATGTCCCATCCGTGACAGCCCCGTTCAGCTCTTCCAAGTCCAAGGCTGTGGCTTCCTTTATGGATTCAGTCCATCTCATATTTGGCCTTCCTTTGTGTGTTTTGCCTTCAACTTTCCTAAACATCAAATGGAGGGGGCAGGGGTGTGAAAATGTGGTAGATTTTCTCAGTTTGGACCCAGGGTTTCTGTTCTGTCAAGCCTGTGCTGACCCCAACTCAATCAGATGTGAGATAAGACAGCCTGCAAACTTCCATTTTAAGGCAAGCTCTGATTTTCATTTTTTTCTTTAAAAGCCAGGGCAAATCATGCAAAATTTGAGCCTCTGCTTGACAGATTTGCAGAAACTGCAGTGCAGAGGCTAGAAATCATCAGGAAATGCAAGGCAGTCAAGATGGGTCATGTGTCCATGCAGTCAGAGAAGGATGCTTCCACACTTTCCTTATTAAATATTGCAACAACAGCAATAGCAACTCAGATCTATATATGCTGGTCCCTTTTTGCACAAACTGCATTCTGTTCAGATTGCACTAGAGATAAGCACTAGAGATAATCCTGGCAACAAATCTGCACAAATATTTCAGAGAATTTTGCAGAAGCAGGGAAAACATTGCTTCTCAGTTTGCTTTTGACGGTTAGGTTGGAAATATGTTGAAAGCAGGTTGAGCTCAAGGGGAACAAGTTTTCCAGTGCCACCAATCAGACGCACATCTCACTGAGCTCAATGTACGCTTACATCTGAGGAACTATGCGTGGGATCCTGTTGTGCTGTCAATGGCTTAAAACAGCAAGGTTCCAACATGTGCTGAGTTCTGCTTGCTCGAATTGTTTCAGGATTCCTGCAGTGAGCAAGGCACTGGATTAGCTCTCCCTCACCGTGCCTGAAAAACCATGATATATTAGGATTGGAGTAAATTAGGTGAAATCAGGCTGCATATGATCATTCTAGTTACACTGATCTAATGCTACTTTTGGTTATTCCCCAGAAAATCCCTGGTGAACACCCACCAGCACCCTATGAAAATGCCAGAATGGTAAGTTGAGCAATTGAACCCTTCAAGATTAAGAACACATTTCTGTCTCTAAGAATGATCAGGCAACTGCTTCTGGAAAGTGGATTATTATTATTATTATTATTATAACATTTCTATGCTGCCCCTTGCCGAAGCCTCGGGGCGGCTTACAACACAATAAAATACATTGAAATACAATAGAACATAATATAATATCATGGCATATAATAGGGTAATATTATATAATATATAATATAATAATATAATAATCATGGAAGAAATGTGTCATACACATCCCCTCCATCGTTAATTTTCAACTGCCTCTGAACTTGGACCTTTACATGACTGGGGTGCCTGCCAATGGCTACCCTTCCTGACCTTTTGAAAGCCACCTGAAGGATTATGGCACTGGTTCTTGGACCAGTGACCACCTGGTCCAAGAACCTTGTGGCCATGCAGTTAAATAATTGCATTCTTTTTCTAAGGACCGTGGAAGCCCTCAAGCTAATTAATCATCATGGCTCCAAGCTAGTGATTAATTGCACAAAGGGAACAAAAAGTGCCTAGCAACATGCACACATTAAAAAATACATGCAAAGAGAAATGTGTATCTCTCCCAGATGTGCACGAACACATCAGTAGGTGCATGCACCAAACATACCTTTTTTAAAGGTGTTTTTTTTAAGTCAGAAGCTCCTGTCAGAAGGAAATGACATGAACCTGGCCTCAAAGAACCGACAGTCTTAGCATCGCAAAGATGATCAGACCCATCCATCCCTGTTTGGATCATGGAACAGTGAGGAACAAATAACCAGCTCAGCCCTATTCTGCTTTCCACCCCATAAAGATATCCGATGGACGGGAGCCCTATCAGTCAAAGCTGGGCTGAAAAGTGAAGAAAGAGAATATATCGCATATTACTAGCTAAGCTCTATTTCCTTTCATTCCAGCCCATCATAAAGCCGAATGTGCCGCCACCTCCGGTTCCAACTGCCAAGCCGGCCTTATCTCCTGCCACGGGCAATTCAGTAAGCCAGCTTTTCCTTTGTCATCATTTTCCGTGACATTTTTCTCCTTTTAAGCAGAATGCTGGTGAGAATAGCATCACGGCGTGAATATAACAGTCTCCGACAAGTGTCTCCTTTTAACTTTTCCTGGAGGGCAAAAAGAGGCAAAGGGAAACCAGTGTGACTGGGAAACACTGAAGAGTGGTGTTCCATTGCTTTTGCCTTGCTTAGCTGTGGGGCTTGAGTTCCATTTTGAGGGATTTCCCAAGGCGCTCCAAACTGGGAATTCTGCCACCTTAGGCAGCCGCCCAGACTGCCCATTGTGCTGGACCAGGCCTAGTTACAACTCAGAAATTTCCTCCAACTGCAAGGCTTTGAGAAGAGCAACTGCAAGGCTTTGAGAAACCCCACCAGGGCTTTGAGAAGAGAAACCCTACCAGCCTCATGTCGGTGTTTCTGGGAAGGTTGCACAGTGCAACAGAGGTGATTGTATAACATAAGACTAGAATTTACTTGGTCACTGTGAGAAGGTGTTGGGGCTTTCCACCTCCCACCCAGGGAGCAGATACGGGAAAAGCAAACAACATAGGCAGGATGAAAGAGTTTCCTCTCCCAGGGAGAGGCTTCAGAGGGAGGTGTGTTGGCCGCAGCTGGTGAAATCCAATGCTTTACCACCGCATGGATTGAACTCAATAAGGAACACCTGGGAGAGGGCATGGGAAGGACGATGCGAGGGAAGGAGGATAAAGGGAGGGGGGGAGAAGGCTTGGGAAGGAGAGGGAAGAGGTGTGAGGGAAGAATGTAGAAGAGAACAGCATAGGGAGAGGTGGGCCGGTGCCGTGGCTGCTAGCTGCAGAAGGTGAGGTTGAAAACTGAGGCTGGTTGGGCATCTCGAGGCTGGGGAAGAGGTGCAGGACTCTGGGCTCTAGGAGCTGGGGCTGGCCTCCCAGAACACAGCACGTTGCCCAGTGAGATTCCTGAAGCAATCACCAGGGCCACTGCAGAGCCAAGAGGAGCATTTGATAGCGTTCCCTGCACAAGTGAGAAAGGAACATCAGGGACAGAGAGAAGGCAGGCACTCAACCCCTCTGGGAACTGGAAGGTCCCAAAGGGAATATCGGAGAGGTGTCACTCTCTGTCCTAGACTGAACCAAAAGACTGTGTGTGTTTGTGTCTCCTGATAAGGCCAGCGAGTTGTCTTCCTTGGGGGCTAATTTCTGACAAGGAGCTAATTCCCCAATAAACCAAATTACTACCAGAACCAGAGTGGTCCTTGGACATTATACCGTGGATCAGGGGAGCTTTGATGCTCCTCTCCCCTCACCAAATCCTACAGCCACCTTGTTATTAAGGGTTTACACCTGAAGCCTCTCTCCAAGTTCTACCTCTGAGATTGGCCTGTGCGTGTGTGTGTGTGTGCGTGTGTGTGTGTTGGCGGCGGAGGTGACAAGGGAGAAAACTTTGTCACTGTTGGCCCTTTAATTCTGAAGATCTTCCTGCTGACAACCGTTCAGTGCCAGGCCAAAACTGTCCTCTAAACCTGGGCATACAATGGGGCATGTCAGCTGTTTTACCATGTCTGGTTTCTATGGAAATTGTTCTAATTAATTGTGCATGTTGTATGCTGTATTTTCTTTCTTTTGTATTTGTGTTGTATGAATTGCTGTGACTGCCAAGAAACCTTCATGTATCGGGCAGTATACGTAGCAATGAAATCAATCAATCAATACAGCAAAAACCTGTGAGAATTTCTTGTTCCATGGATGAGAATGCATTGTGGTTTTCATCTCCTTTGAAAATGCTTTGATAAGAAATTCATTTTCTATCCAGTTGAATAAGGATGATTGCAAACTCTTTGGCAGAGCACCACACCGGACCGACACCACAGATACGTGGTGGTGCTCAACAGTGGGGTCTCCAATTAAGGGGAAGTGATCAATAGAGTGAGAGCAATTTGAGGGCGACACTGATTGTGCAGGGCTGCTAAAGGACAAAGAGTGTTTGACAAAGGGTATGCTTGATCACAAAAATACTCTTCCGCCTCCTCTTCTTTTTCTCAGCAAACAGCAACAAGGCCAGTTCCTTCTCCTCATTTCAAATCCAAGCCAGCTCCTCCACCTCCACCACCACCCCAGGTAAGGCTCACACGAAATATAGAAATCTGAGTTATCGACTAGAGTAATTAAGGGATCAATCCCATTCATGTTTAGGCAGAAAATTATTCTGCAGTGCCACTGGGGAAGGAGTATCATGACCTCCTTTTTGTAGATCCGAAAGACCAAGAAGCCACGTTAGTAATCCCTCTCTTCCCTTTTTGCTTTCCGATGAACAATGAATGAAGGAGAGGTGGCAAAGCAATTCCATCCACAGATATGCAGTAACCCAATCCACACCTCCCAAGCTGGTGATTTGAATCTCACCTGGGGTCCTGCCCTACTCTCAGCAAGTCTCACAGCGATGCACTACCAGGACTTACTTATCAGCATGGTCTCTGGAGTCATCTTACTTGCAATTCCCTGTTCTGCTGACTTTAGTTGGAATTGACCAGGATCTGCACTGTGGGGAGGGAATTTCACTTTTCCAGCAACTGAATATTGCCCCCTCTTGTAGTGCAAAGTCATGGGTGTGTGCATGATCATTTACAAAAGGCCTACTCCTAGCTGAGGAAAGCCCCCAGAACTGCACTGTTGTCATGGATCAACACCAGGTCCAGTAGTTTTGGTCTCTCCTTAGGCTCATAGGCATGAAGACAGTTATACCTGCATTTCAAAATGTCTCAACACACCAGTGGATTTCAGTGACTTGATTCCCGGATCTCTTTGCTTTTGTCTTAGGCTCTGAAACCCCCAGGAAACCGCAAGGTGTGAAAGTGAACCAAGTACCAGACCTGCTGCTGTTCTCCAGTTTCAAGGAAACCTTTCCCATCTTGTTCGGTCCTCCATCTGCAAAGGAAAGAGATTAGCTGGTTTTTTCTACAGGTCTAATAATTTCTCTGCCAACAGAATGCCATGTCTGCACTTGGGCTGTCACTGCTTGCCCAAGTGGTCATTTTTGGAAAGGAGACAGATTGGCATATTGTCAGTCTATGTCCATGCTGTCCATACTGATGAAGAGAATCATGATAAGGGAGATCCTGGTTTAACCGGAACGCTTTTGTAAATAACTGTGAATTGAGCCTTGTAATTTTACACATCAGAGAGCAACTGCGCTTTTTTGCCAGTGATTCCTGGACCAGTCCGTATCACCCATCACTGCCAGCCGTGGACAACCCCTGAGACTTTAGAAGGCTCCCCAAAGCTTTGCCTTGCTGGGAAAAGAACCTTTTCTCCATGCAGTGAGAAGGTGGCAGAGCTTTGCCCAATGCCTCAAAACAACACCACTCCTTCGACATAAAGGAGAGTCAGAATCTTGATCCAGCCTTTTACAAGCCGCTGCTTTCCTGGGAAGCGTGCAAGCAAAGCTTAGACTGCTTACTTCTGTGTGCCTTGAGGAATTGCTGCAATGTATAATGGTACGAAGATGGCCAATTTCTTTTACCAGCTTCTGTCCCTGCACTTGTAACAGCAACTTGATGTGCAAATATGTGCCAGGGATTATGTTTTCCTTCTTGTTGTCGAAAGCTTCCTTTCCTAATTCTTGAAACTCAAGTGTTTCGTCCAAAGCACAGGGGAAGCCCAAACAGGGGGCAGCTCTAAATAGCAGAGGGCCATCCTTCTAGCACTTTATCAGGCCAGGGCAACCATGTGGCTAATTTTTAGCAGCATATTTATGGTGCAGCATACAGTTAAAAACAGCAACACTAGAACTCGAGTGCTCACACCTTTCACCTGATGATATGTGAATTAAGCACCTTATTTGTCCATGCAGCTGAAATACATCAAGAGGTTTTAGGGCAGGACTGCACAGGACCTTGTATATTTCTTTTTTATGTTATTGTATGAAAAGGTCAGTAGGGGAAAGGGGTTAATGTAGAAACTTTGGGCTGAAGAAAAAGGATCAGATGTACTTAGCATGATTTGACAAAATTGGTCTGCAGACCTAGTCAGCAGAATGTAGACTTGCTAGGTTAGGGGAAAAATGTGCTCGCTCACTCTTAATGTAAGGGTAGTTTCCGTGTGAGTTTGCACAACGACTTCTGGTGGTCTGAATGGCCTCATCTTGTTTCCACAGCCAAACTTACACAATCCAGAATTCTCCAGGTCTCTTTCCGAGTTGTGCACACAGCACCAGACCCGCTTCGTGTGCTCTGTGTTCAGTTTATGGGCACTGAGTGTTTCGCTTCAATGCTCCCTCTCACTAAAAAGCAAGGAAAGAAACAGATTTGTTTCCCTGCAGCTAGAGCAAAGAACAAGCCAGGCAAAGAACCCCTCCTCTCCTCTTTGCAGAGATTGTTTTAAAAGGAGGGTGGGCATTCTGAAATAGCATCCTCCCCACGCCGCCCTTCCAGGCCATTTAACCACCAGGATTCCCAATACCTTGTTCTACTGCCTGTATCTGTATAGGAGCCTTTCCCAAGCTGGTGCCCTTCTGGCGGCTTGGGTAGTCTCTCCCCTAATTCCCACCGTCTGGGGCAGTAGGTTCACCAAGACTCAAGATCCAGTGTTCTTGCTCTGGTGAGGAATTGCTGGCTGAGCCGGGCCAGGGAGCAAAGAAGAGGGTTTCAGAGGAAAGGCAACCGGTGGAGTGGTGAATCACTCATTCCCCTCCTAAACCTGATTTTCTTTCTCCATCCTACTTGTGATTGCTACTGCAGTGGCAGGCTGTTACAAACAGGGGACGCCCATCACCAGCAGCCGTGCCCCCCTGCTGGGGCAATCTGGTCTCACGTTCTGGTCTGATGTTCGGCAAACTGTTCCCATCCCGAGCGAATGCCTGGCCTGTCAGCAATTTGGTCCTTGAAACACAGATGCCTATGGAAGGCTGGCCTCCACCGCATTCTGGTTTGCCAGCTTTTCCTGCCCAAGAGGAAGTGGTCATGAAATAAGAGCCTCAGTCTGTGACTGGCTCTCTGCTTTGCTCAGCATAGCTGCAGCATTTCTTGCACTTTCTCAAATGCACCTTGCATACATTTCAACAGGCCCAGTGGAAAAGAGCTTCCTGCTTCACCATTACCTTTCCTCAGAACCGTGGCCTCTCCAGTAATTATTTCTTTTCTGCTCTGGGGGCTGCCCTCCCCTGGTTGAAGAGAATATTTAAAAATCTCAGTGAGTTTGCATCCACTGGATAGTGGTTTACCTGTATTTTGTTATCTATGAAGAGTGTATATTTACAGAGTTATCTTTATTTAAAATGTTCTTATATAAAGTCACAATGTCCCCTCCCACCAAAAAAAAAAAAAAAAAAGACAAAGCAATCTTCATGTGTCTGTCTTCTTCATCTACAATGGCTTCCCATTTGTTGATCTGCATTCTGAATTGTCATTTTACAATGCTACGCTTCTTCAGATGACAAAACTATGGCCCAGAAAGATATTCAGAGGCTACCCGAGGTCAAACAAAATGAACTGATGATGCATTAAGTCTGCAGTCCTACCAGCTTGATCCTTGGTAGATGTTGGAACCCTCTCGCTACCCTTTGTTGGATGGGAAAAGTGACAAGAACAGTGTGGAATTTGTGCTGTTTGCACAAGGTAGAGCTTTGTGCAAACAGCTTCTTCAAGTTGTTTGCCGGATCTGTAGGCAAAGTAACTGGAGACGCAATTTCATGCTATTTCTCCAGGAGGGTGGGTAAATTTTCCTACAGGTTATCCCAGCAACCAGTGAGACAAATTGTAGAACAACTTTGCCCTTCCTAAGTGTGCACACATGCATCTGGGGGAAGAGATAGGCACACAACAACTGCGGTGTTGGCCAGTTGACCTCCATTTTACATGTTCCACAATGTCCCATTCAATGCATTGTTCTAGGACATCATTGCGGAAGAACGGGAGGATGGCCACCATATGCAATTAACTGAAGTGCAAGAAGCCCAAAAAACCACACAGCCCAGTCAGCTCATAACACATGAACCCTGAATTCAGCCCTCCAAGCTGATCTAGCTGAAAGGGGTCACTAGGGGTGAGGATCCCATAGAGTCACATCTTCTCTCCTCCTCACCCCCCAAAATCTGTTTCTTCTCTCCCAAGGTCATGACACTGACCTGGCAAGAGGGAGCGACCAGGAAGCTTTTGGTGGGAGTTACATGGTCATTATCCTATATCTTAGTCAAATGGCAAGCATTTAGTTGTGCACTGGATAATCATCTAAGCATGCTCATTCAATTTTATAGAACGGAAATGGCTTCTGAAAAGAAATTTGAAGGAACAGAGCATTTTGGAGAAATTTTCATGGGTTGTGTTTGGACTTAGAAACAAAGAAACACAGAAACAAAGCAAGTCAGAAGTGGCCCCTTGAGCCATCTAGTCTGACCCCCAGCTCCAGCCAGCTCTGTTTATGTAATCACCAACATGTGGCTGTCCAATCTTTCCTTGAACTCCCTCACTGATGGGGCCTCAACCACCTCCCTTGGAAGCCCAGTCCATATCCTAGGGATCCTAACCATCAGGAAGTACTTCCTGGCATCCAATCCCTTGAATTTTGCCCCACTGGAACACATTCTGCCCTCCACCACAGGGAAGAACAACTCATGGCCCTCTTCCACATGACATCATCTCACTTACCTGTAAGCCACTAAAAGGTCCTCTTGGAGTCTCCTCTTCTCCAGGTTGAAAAGACCCAGTTCCCTCAATCTCTCTTCGTATGTCATCCTTCCCAACCAGGCTTCCATTCTTGTGACCCTGTGCTGAACCGATTCTAACCTAGCTATGTCTCTCTTATAATGTGGAGCCCAGAACTGGATGCAGTACTCCAGTTGTGGGTACACCAGAGTCGTGTACAGTGGTATCAACATTCCCTAGATCTGGAAGTCACAATTTGGCTATACATCCAAGGGTGGCGTACGGCCTCTTGACCGTCGCATCACACTGCTGACTCATGTTTAGCTTGCAGTCAACCAGCACCCCGAGGTCCCTTTCATAAGTGCTGCTCTCCAGCCACTTGTCCCCTATCCTGTACTTATGACACCCATTCCTATGACCCAGGTGCAAGACCTTGCACTTCTCCACATTGAACGCCATCCTGTTGTCTCCTGCCCACTTCCACAGTCTGTCCAGATCCAGACTTCTTGCACTTATCCTGCATAGGAGAAAGAGGAGTGGGTGCAAAGGCCTTTCACTGTACAGTCATCTCTGCAGCAGCCTCCCCGACTTCCCACAACTCAATTAAGTCCACAGTGACACAGTCGGGTAATAATGCCTTCCCACAGGGATTTCAGATCGGGAAGCAAAAGCAGCCCAGGAACCGGCTGTGAAATGGCAAGGCTGGTTAGAAGAAGAAAGCAAGCATACACATGCAGAGCAAGCTCACGGATCCAGAAAGGCTAAAACCTGTTGCAGAAATACTTCACGCAAAAAAGAAAAGAAAAGAAAAGAAAAGAAAAGAAAAGAAAAGAAAAGAAAAGAAAAGAAAAGCAAGCAAGCAAGCAAGCAAGCAAGCAAGCAAGCAAGCAAGCAAGCAGAAGGATAGAAACCACTCTCACGGGGAAAGGAAACTTTTGGGATGTGGATTCAGGCACAGCAATGTCTAGCCTCCGCTATGTAGCACCAAGGAAACTAGGCACAATAGTACCTACAAAACTTATGTAAATGTCATTTGACTTTTTGGCATGCTTTCCCAAAGTGACGAAGAATTTAATTCCATTAACAAGGTGGCAACGGCATGAAAGATGCCTGGGAATTCATGAAGAACACATGAAATGGATGATGTGAAATCCACATAGCCCTGTGCGACTATTGCTACACCCACACCGCAATTCCAACAAAAATTCTACTCCTAATCTCCTCTCCCCATGCTAGCACTGGCAACTTCCCCATGGGGTGGATTGCGAATACCTTAGATGCAGTGTAGTGGTTAAAAGCATGGGACTGGGACTCAGACGATCTGGGTTCTAGTCCCCGCTTGGCCATGGAGCCAACTGGGTGACTTCGGGCCAGTCACAGACTCTCAGCCCAACCTACCTCACAGGGTTGTTGTTGTGGGGATAAGATGGAGGAGGAGATGTAAGCTGCCTTGAGTCCTTTGTAGAAAAAAGGCAGGATATAAATCGAATAATAATAGTAATAATAATAATAATAATAATAATAATAATAATAATAATAATTTGAAATATAGAATGGTGCATCTACAGAAAAGCTTATTTCTATAAGTGTAATGAAAATCTGACATCTACTGTTTAAAAGCCTCAACTGCATTCCAAACGCAAATGTAGTTTCTGAGTTTTTTGCAAGCTACACTTTGTTCTGAGCAAAAAAGTAGAAAGTGTATATCTTGTAAGTGCTTATAAGTGCTTTTTCTGGTACTAGAACTGATCCTTCCTTCCTTCCTTCCTTCCTTCCTTCCTTCCTTCCTTTCTGGCAGTGGGGGAAGAGGTATTCCTGTTTCAAGTAGTAAAATTGAACATGATAAAATCTCTGAACCTGAGATTTGCATAAAGACAAGTAGCTTTTTTAAAACCTTCAGAAACAAAGCCAAACAAATGGACAAAAAGAAAATGACATTGTGTTTCAATTGTCATGGTTAACAAAGACTCGTACATTTAATCTGCAAAAATCAGGGAGAGTCCTTTGTCCTGTTTGGGACTGCTGACTGGGAAATGGCTGGGAGTTGTAGGACTCATTCCGGTCCAGGCTCACACAGGACTACAGTACAGCTGTGTAGACAGCCATGGGAATTTTTGAATTTCCGAGATGAGGTCAGAAGTTCCTCTGACCGCGTGCCCAGAAGCCGCTCATCATCCGCACAGGAAGAACAATTTGCCAGCTGCTTCTTCATGGCCGTTAAGCGCAACCTCAGAGAAGGGCTTTTAGAGGTGGGGGCAAGGAGGGGTGGCGACCAGCATTACAAAGATGGGATATATTCTGGCAGCATTGCAGCCTCCTTCTCGCCTGCTCTGAAGTGCCACACTTAGAGGGACAAAATCAACCTTGAGTGAGAGGACAAAAGAAGTGACCTTCACCTACACACTCTTCCTGCCATCCATAGGATGCCCTTCATCCAAAGCTTCCATATAGCCTGAAGTGCACAATCCTGCCTAATCTTGGAAGCTAAGCAGGGGCGAACCTGGTTAGAATTTGGAAGGGTGACTTCAGTGATGTGAACCACCCAGAGAGCTTTGGCTATGGGTGGTATAGAAAGGTGATTCAGAGGATTATGGGCCATCCTGTAAGGTTGCATCCTTAGGGCACATTCCAAGGCTTCCTGCTCTTTCTGCATGTCGGCCTCCAATTTGGAAGCTTGGGTGACTCCAGGCATGCAGCAGGCACAGCAATGCTGATATTCCCCACCACTGTGCCTCACGCCCTGCGTTCCTTCCAGACCGCCATTTAGACCGGCCGGCTGGAGTAGCACGGTAGGGAAGGAAAGGCGCTGGGGATACATCTGAAGCAGAGCACAGGGCTCAGCTTGATGGCCTTATGGGTCCCTCCCCTCTCCTCTCCTCTTCCAATCCTCCATGTAAAGCCATCCAACTCGATGGCCATCACATCTTTCAACAGCTAGTTCCATAAATGAATTATAGGCACCCTCCATGGAAAGTCACTCCTCTCCCTTTCTGAGTTGCTGCTCAGATGGCTTACAACCTACATCCCAACTTGTAACCCAGTTCCTTTAGGCTCCAGGATGCTTACGGCGCAGAGAAGTTCTCTGTGGTCTCCGGTTTGCCGTTTTCCTCCAACGTGGAGGCCTGTCCACAAGGGGGAGCAAGAGGATGACTAGCAAGAAGAAGAGACTTGCAAGGAGAAGAAAACGCTCCACTCTGTCCTACATTACAGTAACTGATCGCCTGTTCCATGACAAATTTCACTTACCCTTAACTAATTATGCATCTCAGGACATTTCCTGTTGCAGACACATACATTAACCATGGCAGCTTTAACCTGGCTGTGCAAAAGCCTCAGACAGTCTGGCACCAAAAGGAATCGATAGGTAAAGCCTGTTTCTCCTCATGATGCATTGCCACAGGAATTGCTTGTTCAGGAAGGACGAGACTTGACAAAGGTTTTCATTTTGTAATCTTGCATGATCCACCCGTTTAATCCGAGCTGCGGACTCTCTGTCTAGTTATGAAGGGATGGGCAGGATGCTCAGAACAAAGGAGGACACGTAGGGAAGACTCGAGACACTTAGAGGACAAGACAAAGCCCTGTCCCTTAGGCAGAGCCAATATAATGATGATGCGCTAATTGAGGGGCGAGGTTTTGGAGTACAGTTGGCACAATTGACCACAC